CTCACTGGCCCCTGGTGGGGTAGAGGGTGCGGAAACTTATGTCATTTCAACATTATGTGTAAACTACCGTTACGGAATTAGAAATAAACCACGTTTAAATTTTATTTCCCCCGAGATCCCTCCCCGATCAATACGCTAGTGCCCCCCCCCCGATCTACACTTTGTTGGTGGAAAATCGCAACTTATCTCCCCTACCTTTCTTCTTTCTCTTTTTTTCTTTCCCTTTCTCTTCTCTTTCCCTTTCCCTTCCCTTCCTTCTCTATCTTTTAGGTTTGATGGGGAGGGGGAAGCAAGGTCATTTTAGCCCCCACCCTTCTCCACACGTTGTTGGAGGGATTAACTGCAAATTATCTATTTCTCCCTTCTTTTCACCTTTTTTTTCGGTCCCTTTTAGCTCTCTTTTTTTCCCTTACCTTCTTTCTCTCTTTTTTTTAGCGGGCGGGGGGGGGGGGGGGGGGAGGCAGGGGGCATTTTGCCCCACCCCCACCCCAATCCACAACTTGTTGGCGGAAAAATTGCAACTGATACCCCCTTCTTTCGATTTCCTTCCTTCTCTCTTATTTTTTTTTTGATTGGGGGAGGGGGGAGGCGACAGCCTGGGAGGTGAGGCTCTTTCGCCCCCGCCCCCCGATCTCTTCTTCCCCCTTTTCTTTTCTTCTTCCTCTTCTTTCTTTCCCTTTCTCTCCTCTTTCCCTTCTTTTCCTTCTCTCTCTCTCTCTCTCTCTCCTTTTTTCCCTTCTTTTTTTCCCTCCTTTTTTTTCCTTTTTTTTTTCCTTCTTTTTTTCCCTTTTTTTCCCCTTTTTTTCCTTTCCCCCTTTTTTTTCTTTTTTTTTCCCGGGGAGGGGGGGAGGGCCGGGTCCCCCTCCCCCTGGATCCGCCACTGTGTTTATTACACGACTATCTGTAACACGGGCTAGCCTTACTAACATTTTATCATTCTTGACGAATTATTGACGTTTGTTTATTGTAAGTAAGTAAAATTCCACACAGCTGAAGAAAGAGACAAACGCACAAACTAAACTTATCAATCTTACCTGCACGTCTGCCGTCATTTCGCAAGGAGGTGTCATCACGTTTCGGCTTCTTATTCAACCAGTCTCCTAATTTCGTTTGAGATGTCTTGGGCCTACAGTCCTGCCATAGTATATGAAAAACAAAGAGTCACGTACAAATTATGACATTATTTAGAACTTACTTTAAAGCTAATGAATCCAATAATTTCCGTAATATATTCACTTTAAAACAAACTTAAAAGTGCATTAACAACGGAGAAAAAAATGTATGATATTATGATCCGTGTATCATGCTTCGCAACAAGTATATTTCTAGCTTACAATTAAATTATGGGTAACTACTGAGATAAACTACACCTCAAATATTTAAATCTATACATTGTTGTAGACGTAATCAGGATATGATTGCACACCATGAGTAGAGCAACTACTCCTAACCTGGTTCTCCTTATTCATTCAGCAAATTTGTACGTTTTTAAACTATTTCGGTAAATGAATATAAGACGGCCTTTTGTTATCATCTAGAATATAAGTATCTGACCAAATATGTAAACTAGTCTACGACATGACTCATATTAGTGGAGCTAGGTCTATTAACAGTTCATTTGTGTTTTATTACAACGTGAGATGATATGTTACCACATCCTCCTACCAGTCGGGGGCCTGATAATTCGCAATTCAAATAGGTCTAAAGTAAGTAAGATCGTACTGGACCCACACTATACGCCACTGTCTGAGTATAATCATAGTCACACACACTAGGTTGCCATCATTTTAATCCGACTACGAAGTGTGTTTTTTGCCAGGGTTCAGGGGGGGGGGGGTAGATTTACCGACAAGTTTTTCCAACAAGCCAAAACAAAACAAAAGGTCCTCCTTTTTTTGCGATTTGCCGACGAGGCTGGAGAAATTCCCAATTTCAATCAATTTGTTGATAAAACTACCAAAAGCGGTGATTTATTGTCACGACGGTGGGGGTTGCGGAATGCGGGTTTCGTGGGGAGGGGGGTGGGGGTGCAGAATGCTAAAATTATGCACTCTAAATGTAGAACACCCGAGAGCCAAGATACGGTCTTTCTTCGATATTTCTTCGCTATGTTTTTCAAGTTTCCGGGGGACGATCCACCGGCCCCTACCGGTAAAATTTCCTTCTGCCTTCCCGTCCCTGCGCAAGTTGATACTGACCGTATAAATTGTTTTTGATTGACCATTCAAAACAATTTCTCTAATTAATGATGATGATAATAATAATACAAATAATAATGAGGATGGTAATCATAATATCAATAATAATAATTATCATAATGTGAATATTAATAATAATAATGATCTATTGATATACTGCTCTAGCCTCTTATAGAGGCCCTGCTATTTAATTATCATTATTATCCGACCATTGCCAGATACCTATTTAGCCCCTGGCTCGAAAGAGACAAAGTCATGGGTAGAATATCTTGTCCAAAGATGTAACTGATCACAGACTGAGTATGCAGGGAAGGAACCCTAGAGAGACTTTTTAGAATATATTATAGTTATAGTAACTTAGTAAATAGCGAACAGTTAGTGAACGATGAATAATACACATGGCCAGATGAGCAGGTTCAGATCAGATGAACACTCTCTTGTATAGGCGTTTCGCATGTGTACATCATTTTGCGCATGCTCGGACCATGCTTGGTCAAGCACATCGCACCCGGGGCTTTCCTCCCAACATGCCCAGACCAGCCGCCAGCATGAAACAGCTGACTCCGGACCCATTGACCTGCACACTTTCTTCACTTTTATTCATCTCATAATCAATGGTTTATGATAAATGTTAATTCACTAAGTAGGTTATGTATAAATATTAACCTTTTTTCTTTTCAATGGTGGCTTCGGCATCGTTGAGCATCCGTCTCGTGACTTGTCATAGATTGTCGAAGGTGATGATATGCAGGATGTCGTCTACTGGACATGGGGTCTCGTGTTATCATAAACATGGATGATGCTAAACATTCAAGAATGTGCAGCGAATGAGGAGCTGAGGGATGGTCAAGAAGATGCGTTTGGCTCAGTCGGTAACGCGTCTGTCTGTCGAACTAAAGAACGTGGGTTCGAATCCAGCTCTATTCCAGGCGGGTGACTGATATCTCCCGGGCCTAAGCCTTCGTTTTGTATCAAAAGTTGTGAAGCGGCCCCTCTACCGTTTATTAAAATTTGACTGTTAAGTATATAGCTAATAAAAACATCAAAAATAATGTGCCCTTTTCAAATTTCTCACCAAAGAGTGGTGACCTTTGTAGCGCAGTGGCAGTTTTTAACCTTTTACTTCGAATCCGCGGCTCGGGATTTTATGCGGCCGACCCCTATATTCAATAACGTCTCCCAAGCCTTCCGATCGGATGACCCCCAAAAATTCATTTCTGCTCCTCTTTGTAGGGGCCGGGCGCGACTTTATCATGAGCTCTTTTACATGAACCCTTTTTTAATGAATATATTATACTGGATTCAGACCCCGGCCCCTCCCCACTCCGGGGTCGGAATGACCGCATGCGTGTTACCAAAATGTCCGGTAAAGGGATACTTTTCGTGCGACAAAGTCCGGCCCGGAATTGTAAAAAAAGGGGTGTATTTGACTTTTCACCCGGAGATTTCTTTGAAAAGGGGGTGTTTTTTTTCTTCTCATTTCTTTTGGCTCCTAGGAAATTATTCCGAATTTAGGGGGGTACATTCATTGAGCATTTTCCCGTATTTAGGGGGGTCTCTAAGGCAGGAAAAGCCCGCGAAAGGGGGGTTCGGAAATGTTGGCAGTCCTCAGATAGGGGGTGCTTTCAAAAAGAGGAGCATACGCGTACCCTAAATAACACTGAGTGGGGGGGGGGGGGGGCCGGGATTCAGACCCAGATTGCACAACCTAAAATTGAGAGGATTATCATTCCAAATACGCTTTCAGTTCACATTTGCACCCCTTCCTTCTTATTTCCTTATCCACCGTTACCGTCACTGCAATAATCGTTTGGCCGGCCCCCTCTTCAATAACGGCTCCCAAGCCGTCGGGAATGACCCCCAAATTTCATGAATACCATGATTCTGCCGCCCTTTGGAGGGAGGGCCGGTCGCGGCCTTTTCAGAAATGTTTTTACACTAACCTTTTCAGGCACTATACGACTTAACATAAACAAGCTAGCTTAGAATTTTTGAAAATAAGCTGAATTCCGACTCAGTTTTGCACAACCTAAAAAATAGAATACGATCAGTCACCCCCCCCCCCTCAATGGGCGCGCATTTCACACGCGCATACCCCCCCCCCAAGTCTTTTGCCTTATTCATCGCTACTGTCACTTATTGCCATTTCATGGTCTTTTTCCCTTTCTCATTCAGCTTCTCTCTTTTCTTTTCTCTTTTTTCTCTCTTTCTTTTTCTCCTTTCTTTTCTCTTTTTTTTCTTTCTCTTCTCCTTTCTTTTTTCCTCTTCTTTTCTTCCTCTTTTGTCCTTTTTTTTTTTTTTGGCGCCGCCAATAGGGGGGGCCGCGGCCGTTTCGGCCCCCCCCTGGATCCGCCACTGTATACCACATATTATCTGCTGTGAACCAGATGAGTGGGAGAAGGGCGTGACTTGTATCCCTTAACACAAAGTTTCATGAAATGCCCTTTTGTTTCTCAACAGGTGTTATGCTTATAATTTTTATCAAAGAGTTATGCCCTTTTGGATCTTGACAAGAAATTACCAAAAGTCCACCTTCATTAAAAAAAAGTTTTTAGAAATTGAAAAAAGGAGAAGAAAAGAACAATTACCTGGTATGTAAAAAATACATTGAACTGAATTAACCTTCTGCTAAAAGACATACAGGGATAATACTTATTGTGTGATTAATGCTGCACAATAACAGAATAAATATTTTGTTTTGAGCATAAAAGACGTTGAACAAAAAACACTTTGCTGCATAATACCGGTAACCCCTTTTTGGCTCTAAACAGTTTACATGAAATATATTGAATCCTAACATACTTGTGTTAAGTAGAGCATATTCTTGAAGTAGATGAGGGGGTCTTTGGACGATGGTAGGTTGAAATGCCTCTGTATCTGAGCTAACATCTGGGACTGACCTTCAAGACAAGAAAAGATAACATTTCAGAAGAAAATATATAAGGTAGGAAGGAGGAACAGATGTTGATAAATAAAGACATAAAGATATATAAAAGAAATTATAAAATTCACATACGGGCAAGAAATCTAAAACCTTTCCAATATTCCATTGTTTGAATTAATAACAAATTGAAAATCATAAAAATAATCAAAGAATAGCATTGAATAGATGCATATGAAGCTTTTCATCTGGTACCCATCAGGGTGAACCACAAGAATGAAAAAAATGAGTGAAAGACGAAAAGCCTCAGTCATTTTAATTGATGGTTGATAATTGTTTTACCTGACTGCTAAGAAAGCATGTATATGCTTGTAAGTAAGCAACCAGGGGACTGATGAATTGAAGCGCTTTATAAATATTGTCATTATTATCATATTTGTAACATCATTCATGTTCTCTCAGCTATAGGTTTAAAGCATTCTCCAAGATGGCACTTACCAAACGTATGGTGCTGTCTGTGGTCACTGAATGTGCTGGTGTAGGACCAGTCCGTTGCTATGGAAACAGGGCTAAGTGTCTGGAACGAGGGCCAGGACTGGACTCCGTACTCCGAGGCAAAGCGAGGCTTAGGGAAGCTGGATATATTCCAACAATCGGCATTATAGTTGTAGTAGTGGACTATGGGGGAAATAAACAATAAAAACAGTAGTAAATACAAGTATGTACTACTATTGGAGATTGTTTGCACATTCATGTTCATGTATATCCATCACATAAAAGTCACTCAAATATTACCCTGCTCTAGCTAGCCTTTCAATTTCAGATCTCACAGCATTCAAGAAAATACTTCGTACGGGTACCCATGCATTTAACACCTGGGTGGAGAGTGGCAAATATAGATTGATGTCTTAATCATGAAATATTGTTAGGGCTGCACCAGGACTAGAACTCCAGTCCAGTGTTTCAACCATTCCACTACAACATGTCTACAAGCTTGAGCAAGGAATAGATCGAGCCAAAGTTAATTAGCAGACTACAGAAGGCGTACGTCAGGAGCGCATAGAGCATTCATTCTTGTGTATATGCTCAACAGCTGTGTTTTATGCATGTGACACTGCTTTTTATTTTTTTTTAATTTCTATGATGTACTCGTAGCTCAAACGTCTACCGGAGGTATGCACTAGAGATCTGGCCCATGCAGAATTCAAGTTTATCTTTAATTCATATTCTAAATTCACTGCCTTTAATTCACTTCTTTCGATTCTTGCTCCCATCTGGATAATTGAGATACCTCATCCTGTTTCAGACTTGGTTCAGATTTCAGATTTGAATATGAGAATATGAAAATGAAAGTGAAATGAATATCCCGATCTCCTCTTTTCATTATTTAGACTTAAAAGCAAAGTACAGTCATTGGTATGATTAATGTAGCTACATGAGACCTAGTACATTGCTGGGCAGAGCTAAATCTTAGACTGAAATGAATTTAAACCCAGCAGCAGAAATTGTTTACTTTCCCAATGAAAAATCAGAAAAAATAAAAGTATAAAGGGATGCAACAGGCATTTCAAAGGTAGTAATTGACATTTATAATTTGTTTGCTATTGTTTGTTTCTCAGAAAGCAATGAATTTTTCAGGTTGCAGGCTGAAAACCCTGTGGCAGACGATGCCTCTATTTTTATATATATCTGTTACGCTGGTGATGAAAATATTGATTCGTCTGGGGGCGATCTTCCATTAAAAGTTGTGACTGAACAATACTCTAAAACACCACTTCAGTGAATTCTGCCGCATCAGAGTCATCTAGCTGAGAGCAAAAAGGGCACTATCTCAAATCATTTAAACACAGGGTTAACGCCCTTCTTGCAGTCCGCCGTTGAAGGTGATTCATAGATATTGAAGTCATCTCAGCACTTTAATGTATAAAACCCACTGCTGTAAACAACCAAATCGCTAAGTTACACATGAAATGTTACAAATGAAATGCGCTGCAAGAGAGAAAATAATGTCGCTAAATTCAAAACATTTTCAGCTATTTTTTAAAATTCGGTTATGCAGTCTAGAGCAACCTTTTAAAACATTAATAAATTTAAATACCTAAGAAAAATGGTGCATTTTATTTATGAAGTACAAAACAAATCATTCAAGAGTTCTTGGGTTTTTATTGATAATCTATTTTTTTTCTTGTGGTACAATTACAAAAAGTATATACGGGTAGCTTACATCTTTACGAGCTCTCATTTCCTGCATCAAAAATATTTTTGCTTTCTGGCTTTAAGATTGAAAGTTCTCAAATTTTTATTGATAACTGATTTTCTTTTCTTTCTTGTGATTAAATAATTACAAGGATATATCGGTTACTTAATTCTTTACGAGGTCTTGTTTCCTACTTTCAAAATCATGAGAAAGTTTTGTGATGAATGCAGAAGGGGTTACAGGAGACATGCCCCCCCCCCCCCATATATCTATAGGACAACGACCGTGACATATGTGCATGTTCACTTAAGAGTGCGTCTCCATAATTTTAGGACAATGCCCATAGTATGTCCGTGTTAGGTTTTGTGCATTACACAGGCCTGCATGCCCTTAACTTCGAACCAACTCCATGCAATGGGTAAGATTTTTCAAACTCCTGGATCTGCCACTGGAGTTTGTGATGTACACTAAGGCATATGTCAAGGACTCATTTTGAAGGTTAGTACTATTTCACTTGTGAGCATTGAGGACATCGAGGTAAGAACAATTCCTCTTGGCATTAGTGAATGCACCGTATTGATTATAATCAAGCTTTGTGAACGAAAGGACATGGCTGCCAAAATGGCGAATCCTAATCCTTGCTTAATTTCAGTGCTGGGTGCAGTGGGATTTGTTTTCCTAGTGTATCTGCTTCCCTCAATGAAAACTGCGCCAATTGCAGAATCTCAATGGAATCATCCAAAATGTCGCTTCATCAACTCAAGTCATGGGCTTGCTGTCAACTGTAGGAACGGTGGACTTCAGAATGTTCCTGAAGACTTACCCAGAGAAGCAACGACCCTTGACCTGGATGGAAACAACATCATGATCCTCCACAATGCCTCTTTTAAGGATGTACCAAATCTTGTTATTCTAATTGCGTCTCATAACCCGCTTTCATTTATTGAAACCGAGACCATGTGGCCTTTGACGGAACTGAGAACTCTTGTATTGGTTTCCTGCAATCTACAGACTGTGTCATCACTGCTCTTTGTCAAAAACATTCTCCTTACAAAGTTGATTTTGAAAGGAAATCAACTGGATACTGTTCCCTGCGAAACACTAGCAGTCCTGCCAAGACTGTCAACAATGGAACTAATGCGAAACAAAATAAAAGTTCTCAACTTTGATGGATGTTCAAGATGGCATAATTTGAAAGAAATCAACCTCTTAAATAACAAGGTGGAAGAAATTCACCAGAGAGATTTTCTTCCTCTGCAAAATGCTACCATCACATTTTTGTCACTGGCTTCAAATAAGATCAGGAATTTATCCAAACGTGCCTTTTATCATCTGAACTCAGTACAAAGTCTACAACTACCAGGTAATCATATGACTTCCTTTGATATTCAACCTTTTCTAGGTATGGCTTCCATCAGGGAATTGTCAATCTGCGGCTGTGGAATTCTTCACCTTCTTCCACTTGGCAATGCATCTTATCACAATGACAGCTACCCATCCATATACAGTCTTAACATGGGTTATAATTTGATAGAAAATGTACCCGCTGATTCATACTGGGGTTTTGCAAGACTTCAAAAACTCTTCTTGACTCACAACAAAATTAGAACTCTCGGTAATCAGTCATTGTGCCAGCTCCGATCACTTACAGAACTGGACATTTCAATCAATAAAATAGCATCCTTAATACCTCACACATTTGCCTGCTTACCGAGTTTGACAAAGTTGAACGTATCAGCAAATTTGATACAAACTCTTTCACCTCAATCCTTTGATGGAATGCGATCTATAAAATCCATTTTCTTGTCCAATAATATAATTTCAGATTTGAACAGTCATAAACGACTTTGGACACATGGGACTCTCGATATACTTGATATTTCATATAATAGTATAAAGTTTATTTCTGAAGGCATATTTCATGGGCTCTCAAATTTAAAGGAATTGAATTTATCATTCAATCAAGTCCACCATTTTAGTGTCACTGCATTTGAGGATCTTCAGAACGTGCAAAGACTATATCTGTCAAATCAGAAGAATATATACCTAAAAGACACCTTTCAGCAACTTCATACAGTTCTCTTGTTGTGTATTTCAAATAGTCTTATTGAAATTTCACAGGATTCAATAAAGCAATTTGTCAATATGACACATCTTCATGAACTACGCATGGAGAAAGCACAGCTGACCGGCAGTCACTTATATGATGTGGTCAACAATCAGTCACTCTTTACCGGTCTCCTTGCGTTGAAGAGACTTCGTCTCAAAGACAACTATTTACACAGCCTGGATAGCAGGGTGTTCTACAACCTTTCACAACTCTATCATCTTGATATGACCAACTCGAGGATTCAGGTGCTGAGGCCTGAAGTGTTCCATCCTTTGTCCTCCCTTGCACAACTGTACCTCAGTGATAACAAACTGGTGGAAATTGCAGGTGACACATTCCATGGACTCTCTCTCTTGAAAGTGCTTTACCTCCAAAACAACAGCATTCGTGGTCTGGAGGCAACAACTTTTGCCCAGAATCCTAGACTGAAGAACCTCTTTCTTCCTGGAAATCAAATCAGTATCATCAAACCTGGAACGGTGTTGCCATCCAATATCTCTCTTCGCTTGGATGTGTCAAGAAATCCCTTGACCTGTACATGCTCTTTATCATGGTTCAGACAGTGGCTTGACTCAGCCGACATCAACTTCGAACGTGCAGACCAGACGTTGTGCTCTGGTACTTCATTGAAGGAATTAGCTAATAAACCGATCCTGTCGTTCAACCCTGAGGATCATTGCGGTGTGAACATCATTCTCATTGTAGTTGTCTCTTTCTCAGGTGTACTGGTCGGTATGATGGCCATGCTTGCCTACAACAAACGATGGTGGCTGAATCATAAACTCTTCCTGCTCAAACTTGCTATCATTGGTTACGAGGAAATGGCAGAGGACTTCAACGCTGGCAACTATCTCCATCATCTCAACCTCATGTTCGAGGAAGCAGAAGAGGAGTGGGTCAATCAGGTTATGAAACCTGCACTGGAGGAGAGGTTGCCACATCTGCAGAACATCATTTACGGAGACGAGGACCTTCACCTAGGCATGTACTACATCAACGCACTCTATGATGCCATTGACAACAGCTTCAAGACAGTCTTGCTGCTAAGCAACCAGTCTGTCAATGATGCCTGGACCATGACTAAGCTACGTATGGCACTGGAGCATGTCAATGACACAGGATTAGACAAAGTCATCTTAATCTTCGTAGAGGACATTGAGGATGATAACATGCCGTACCTTGTCAGGTTGTTCCTGAGCAGGAATAAACCTTATATGCTGTGGACAGATGATGAAGACCAACAGGAACTATTCTGGGTTCAGTTTGAGAAGAGCACAAGAGCAAATAAGGCTATAAACAATACCATTCCCCTGTAAATTATGTTAATATGTAAACAAGATTTAATCGCACTTTGATAAATGTCACCAGTAGAACACATTCAAGTTGAAGCAATGTCAAAAAACTAATACACAAGAGAGAAACTCCTCCTCCTCCTCGTCCTCCTCCCCCCCTCCCCTCCTCCTCCCCCCTCCCCTCCCCTCCCCTCCCCTCCTCCTCCTCCTCCTCCTCCCCCTCCCCTCCTCCTCCTCCTCCTCCTCCTCCTCCTCCACCACCTCCTCCTCCTCCTTCTCCTCCTCCTCCTCCTCCTCCTCCTCCTCCTCCTCCTATTCCACCTTTGCTTCCTTCAACCTTGAAGAATCTTGCAGAACTTTATCAGATAACATGTGATTTGAAGGGAGGGTGCATTTGCAAACAATTTACAAAGTGCAAGTAAAAACAGCCTCGGATTTAGCTCCGCTGCTGCAGTTCACAACAGAAAAGTTGTATACCGGTAGGTTAAGTTATCAATTCACAATTTTCCACTAACATTTGACTATGGAATTGACTTACTATATATCAAGATGAGAAGGAAGTACAAAACAAACACAGCATATTCATGCAAATAATTGCAGTAGAAAAGATATTGTCTGGACATTGTTCTACCTGCACCTACAATGCTAGGAGGTATTGATACGCACAGTGTCAATGAGACACGCGCACTACTCTCAAATTGGTACATTTCCCTACAAGTATATCCGTATTGAAATGCATATTTTGTCCCAAAATCTGTGTTTTTGATAATCCACACACATGATGCAGTATATAAAACAAATATTGACTGCTTACTTTTTGGGTCACGGTTAAAACTGTAGCCCTTCAGTGGTCTCAAGATTGCACAGTACAGTTTTGAGATCACTCTAGGCAATCGTTTCAACCATGTCGATATTGTTTAAAACCTCATTTAAATGCAAACGTTAAACTCAAAATTAGGAAAATTTTAAAGAGACACTTGTAACTTACCATCGCCGTAATAAACAGAGGTCGGGTCCTTGGCCACCCATCCCTGCATCTCGGTCAGTTGGCCGTCGGAGGGACTGGAACTTAAGAAAGGTAGACCAGTCGCTTTGGACAGGACTATTTCTCGTATCACACCAATGTAGAGAGTTACGTAGTCGTTATCATACAAGGTGAAATTCCTGCTGGTGTTATACCTTAAAGTTATTGGAAATGGAGACATCATCATGAAATGCATTTGGAAATATCGAACATATAACGCAAAGTGTATAATATATATTGTTGTATCCATTGGAGTGGGCTATAAATCTTATCACACTAATGTAAAGAGTTACGTAGTCATTATCATACAAGTCATTATCATACGTAGTCATTATCATGTTGGTGTTATACCTCAAAGTTACCGGTAGTGGAAATCGAGACGTCATGAAATGCATTTGGAAATATTGAACATATAACGCAAAGTGAAGAATATATATTGTTGTGTCCATCGGGGTGAATTATTAATCGCACCAATGTAGAGAGTTACGTAGTCATTAACATACAAAGTGAAATTCTTGTCAGTGTTATACCTAAAAGTTAGTGGAAGTGGAGACGTCATAAAATGCATTTGGAAATCTCAAACATATAATGCAAAGTTTATAATATATATTGTTGTGTCCATTTGAATTGGAGAGAACTATTAATCTTATCGCACCAATGTAGAGAGTTACGTAGTCATTATCATAGAAGGTGAAATTCTTGCTTGTGTTATACCTAAAAGTTAGTGGAAGTGGAGACGTCATAAAATGCATTTGGAAATCTGAAACATATAATGCAAAGTTTATAATATATATTGTTGTGTCCATTTGAATTGGAGAGAACTATTAATCTTATCGCACCAATGTAGAGAGTTACGTAGTCATTATCATAGAAGGTGAAATTCTTGCTTGTGTTATACCTAAAAGTTAGTGGAAATGGAGACGTCATCATGAAATGCATTTGGAAATCTCAAACATATAATGCAAAGTTTATAATATATATTGTTGTGTCCATTTGAATTGGAGAGAACTATTAATCTTATCGCACCAATGTAGAGAGTTACGTAGTCATTATCATACAAGGTGAAATTCCTGCTGGTGTTATACCTGAATGTTAGTGGAAATGGAGACATTATCATGAAATGCAATTGGAAATATCTAACATATAATGCAAAGTGTAGAATATATATTGTTGTGTCAATAGGAAAGGACTATTAATCTTATCACACCAATGTAGAGAGTTACATAGTCATTATCATACAAGATGAAATTCTTGCCAGAGTTATACCTACATGTAAAAGTTAGTGGAAATGGAGACATTATCATGAAATGCATATGGAAATATCAAACATATAACGCAAAGTGTAGAATGTATATATTGTTGTGTCCATCGGAGGACTATTTCTCTTATAATGCGAATGTAGAGAGTTACGTAGTCGTTATCATACAAGGTGAAATTCTTGCCAGTGTTATACCTGACAGTAAGTGTATATTTAGAACTCATCCTAAAATGTGTTTAGAATTCGAAACATAAATCATCATAATCATCCTAACATGTGTCTGAAAATATCAAGATTTCTTTTTCTTTTGTCTGCAATCTCAAGCGCCTCCAGACCCAGTTACCTAAACATTTTCTATATTAAACATTTAGATAAAAAATAAAATAATAAAAGTCTTATTGACTGAGAAATTATAGTATTGTAATCAATGGAACAGCTTTCCAAAACTGAGGTCCTAGGAATGAACTTTGAGCTAAGAAAGTGAAAAATCTAGCTACAAAATACAAAATAATTTCAAAGATGCTAATGGCTTTCCATAATTGTTAAGTCCAACTTAGAGTTAAGTTCAACTTTTGATCTTTGTGAAACAACCCCCAGACCTTGGTTCTTACTTACCAGTCTTGTCTCAAAGCCCCTTCATTTTCATTATTTGCACTCCATGCAATCACAGACGGGTGGTTACTCAGTCTACGCACCTGAACATAAAAGGAAAAGGCTCTCATAAGTGTAAGACAGACTTTTTAATGATGGTTAAGAAAGCATGTATATGCTTGTAAGTAAGCAACCAGGGGACCAACGGCTATTAGTCCTTTCTTAGGGACTTGGTAATGAATGGATTAATTGACTTGGTTTTAAACCGGGGATCTCCCAGTTACGAGACCATTGCTCTCCCACTGAGCCATTGTGTCTCCTCCTTAATCAAACATCATACACCTGTTTACTAATTTTATGCATGCTTCTTGAGCAAATGGGGGAGGGAGGGAGGTAGGGAGAGAGGGAGGGAGGGAGGGAGGGAGAGAGGGAGGGAGGGAGGGGGAGAGGGAGGGAGGGAGGGAGGGGGAGGGAGGGAGAGAGAGGGAGGGAGGGAGGGGGAGAGGGAGGGAGGGAGGGGGAGAGGGAGGGAGGGGGAGAGGGAGGGAGGAAGGGGGAGAGGGAGGGAGGGAGGGGAGAGAGGGAGGGAGAGAGAAAGAGAAAGAGAGAGAGAGAGAGAGAGAGAGTGAAAGAAAAAAGATAGAGAATGAGACAGAGACAGATAGATAAAAACAGATTAGAAAGAAAGAGAGAAAGAGAAAGAGAGACAGACAGACAAAAACAGAGAGGGGAGAAAAATAACAGTATTGACTCACTTCTCACAAGAAAATGCCTCCCCCAACTAGGCAACGAGCCAATGATAAGCAATTCCTTATTGAATAGAAAGATTCACAAATCTTACTTGATAATGGACTTCCTCTGTGACGGATGAAAGGAAGGGTTCATCTACCGGATACATAGCGCAGGCAAACATAAAATCCTGCCACACCATAATACCAAGCTCGTCACAGAGCTCGTAAAATTCATCTTGCTCGTAGACGCCCCCTCCCCACACTCGGAGGGTGTGTATGTTAGCATCAACGGCTGACTGGAGGAGGCGGGACAGGTTGCCGGGGGTGATGCGCTCCTGGAAGGCATCGGCTGGTATCCAGTTTGATCCCTTGATGAACATTGGAATGGTGTTGATCTTGAAGTAGAAGGATAAACCTGGGGTAGGATTAAGAAACAAGAAATGGTTAAAGACTGAATCTAGTTTGGATGGTACGTGTGTGTAACAGTGGCTTAGTAAGAGCCATTGATGGGGGCACCAGTGTAGATACCGTAGATGAAATGTGAATTCACGATGCCACTTATGAGAGGGAGAGGGTGGAAGAGTGGAGAGGAACAAAGGGATCCAATCATCTTCTTAAGTTGCTCCTCCCTCATTCTTTCCTTTTTTTCCCCTCTCAATTATTAATTACAATCTGTAAAGGGGGGCCATATTTCAATATATTTGTATGGGTGCCTTTTCACGATAATCACCTGACTATGATATTTTCTTGAGAATGTCCCTCGGTTTGAAATGGGTACTTGCATCAAATTTTGAGATCACAGAATCTTTTGACAATAAATTGTTGAATTCTTTCAACGATAAACACTTCAGTAACACCCATTTGTAGTCTGTGCCGTTTTTTCAGTAGTAATTGATCTAAATTATGGATATAAATTCCAATTAATCTGAATCAAATACTCCTATAAATATGTTTGTGTAGAATATGAGAAATCACAGATCAAATACACATTTGAAATTGTATATCGTAAATCTGCGTGTATAAGGCGCACTTTTTTTCCATCGGGAAAAATCAAATGTCGGGGGTGCGCCTAATACACAGGTACAGGATATTTTGAGTTCTCAAAATGCTACTTTTAATGGTTTCCGAAAATCTTTGTGTCTCAACATGAATTACATAATGCAAATAAAGAATAGGATCTACTATTTGAAGTTAAACTACGTTTCTAATTTGAAGGGAAGAGAGTTTTTTTTTTTTTTCAGTCTCGATAAATTATGCCCCTTCACAAAACACTTTGCCGGTCGAAGCTCTCCCGTGTCTCCAGCTCACTCACCTGTATCATGCAGCTCACTCACACGGGGGATATTGAATCACCACTCGAAACTAGCCTGTCTAATTTTCGGTTTGGACTCCGGAGGACAATTTTTCTGTCATCTTTAGTTTTAAAAACAACATTGTTACTATTCTTTTTTACTTTGACTTTTTGACTGTAAAGTCGTAATAAATAAAAAGTCCTTCCCAATTCCCTGCATCATGGCTTAAGTTTCCGAACGGGACCGCACGCTGAAATATGAAATAAGAGACGATTCAGTTGGTGTCGGCAAAAATGCAAACCCAAAAGGAATTTTTTTTTTTTTTTTTTTTTTTTTTTAAATCTCAAAAAAAGGGGTGCACCTTATACACAGATGCGCCTTACACACAGAGATTTACGGTATACAGTTGAAATGTGGGCAAACTTTGGACACCCTTTCATACTTCTATAAAGATACTTGCACTTTATGCAACTATCTTATCATACATACTTCGTTTCTAATAATCCAGGGGGGTGTTTCACAAGATCCTATGTCAAACTTAACTCTTAAGTCGGACTTAAAAGTTATGGAGAGCTATGTGAATGATTTGGATCAACATTATTACTTTTACAAAATATTGTCATAGGTGCTTACGGCTTCCCATAATTGTTAAGTCCAACCTAGAGATAAGTTCAACTTAGGATCTTTGTGAAACACCCCCAGGAGGGAATGTCCTATCTTGACTGCATGTACCTGTACTATTAGCAATCTTTTCCTGCACAAGCTCCACCTTTCTGAATCCGACCTTCATCGACCTCCAGCTCGTCTCACCCGACGGTATCTTCAAGGTGACATTGAGGGAGTAGAGGGGCTGAGGGCCATATCCATGGGGAAACCATGTTTGCGCCTAAAAGAAGAAAGTGAACATCTCATTTTGCCGCAAATTTTAAAGCCCACTGCACTACTTATAGCTACGTGTGCCCTCTATATATCAAACAATGCCTAATCAGTGACCATTGATCCCCCATGATCCCCTTTTTCTTATGTTAATTGAGAGCTGATTTGATGAGATAACCACCTGTTGATGACCTTGCAGGGAGGTCTAATCCCTCCTGACCAATCTAGAACAGACGGGCTTATAGAACATTTTTCTTCAACAACAATGAAATATTATTGTTTTTACCGTTGGGATAAACAAGCCTAACTCAGCTGTTACAGACATTACATAACTAGGGCACATGTTTCATAGAATATTTTCTTTCAAGAAGAAATGTAAATTATCATTTGGTTTGCGATTGGCTGGGTATAAACAAGCCAAACTCACCTGTGACAGATATTACCTAACTAGGGCATAGGTTTCATAGAATATTTCTATCAAGAAGAAATGTAAATTATTATAATTTGTTTTGCGATTGGCTGGGTATATATAAACAAGCCAAACTCACCTGTGGCACAGACACTTGCTTGCTGATCTGTTCATGATCAATATCAAGCGTGATGGCAAAGGTGAACTGGTAATGCAAGGTAGGAAACCATATAATGATGGTTGCATCCACGCTCTCATTGGAGGACAAGTTCCCAAGGTCAAAGTTCATGGTAACATTCATCCACCAGGACGGAATCGGAGTGCCAACTTGAAAGAGGATAAAAAAGTACAGTGAAAATTTTATTCAGCAAAGGACGCAGGTTCGAATCTGGGTCACGTCCACAGACGTAAATAAGCATGATTGATACACGTCTGTAAAAACCCAAATACACACACAAACTGGTCTAGATTATAATGAAAACCATGGGAAGAACAGTATCTTGTTTTATCAGATATTGTTGAATTGGGGTTTATAAAATATATTGGGTTAGAAAATTAAAGACACAAAAAAAACCAGTAGGATATAAAGAGTTATGACCAGCAGAATTACATTTGTACAGGATGATTTACTTATAATCACCTGGATTTATACAGCCCTTAATGCAAAATGACATCTCTAAATGCTTTACAGATTCTATTACCCCTCTGACTGGATTCATTCATGCACAATGTGCACCATTTCTACTGCCTGGGGAGTATTCCCACCATATGGTCACCGTGAGGGCATTATGGCAATTACCAACTCAAAGGCTCTCATCATTCTACTAGGTCCTCATTTCTCTCCTGGATATGGAGTGGCAAATGTAGATTAATGCCTTACCAAAGGACATTAGTAAAGTGTCAGGATCGAACCTATGACCTCTGCATTTCAAGTCGAGTGCTTAAACCATTCATAAATATCATTTGCATTTTTGAATATGATACTTTGTTTTGTTGGAATGCACAAAAGGGTACTTTGTAAAGTGAAAGTGAGTGACAAAAAATACTGTGTTAATTTGTGATCTATCAAGATAAAGTGAAAATCAAAACAAAGACTATAATTTATTGACATTGTCATTTGCAATAACTTCATTGGGAAAACCAGACACTTTATCATATCAAATGGTATATTACAACAGATATATCTGTACCTTCATAAGGAATGGCGACCACATCTCTGAGAATAGGATCATCAAAAGCTTCCAAATAGACATCTTTCCTATATCAAACAAAAAAATAAAAGAAGAGACTAATTTTGAGAATGTTAATCATTCAACACGATGTAGAATCAATTATCAGGGGTCGTGCTGAAATTGTTATTTTGCAATTTTCCTCAAGGTCAGTGAACGATGAATTTCAAAAAACACTTTCTAAATCTTGAAAGAGAGCTCTTGGAAAAATCAATGGGATAAAAAAATACTGCAACAAAATACTGATTTCGATAAAAAAATAAAAAAAGTGGTTGTCAGAATGGCCGGTCACTAACTAGATTAGACGTGTCCAAAAGATATTCCATTGTGCAATGGCCCAGTGTTATGAGGCAACAGATTCGTGTCAATCTAAGTGAGACTGCTGTAGGGGAGCTCCCAGGCTAACAATCATATATTGACACTAAAATTAATCAGAAACATGGTCAGAACTTCAACATACCTATATGTAAGAACATATTCCACAAGTTTGAACAAAACTGATCCAAAAGCATTTGACTCATGTATCTTTTGATACAAGTTAGAACACTATGAGCAGATATTTTCAACAAGTGGCAACCAATTTAATTCTCTACTGGTAGAAATAAAAATTATCATTATTGAACATCCTCCTACCAGATCCCGATAGGGGCGAAGCCGGGCCCCCAATCCCAGGAGAAGGAGCACTGCTCTTTTCTGATGAAGTTTGGATGACAGAACCCATGCTGGACGGGAGGGGGGCAGTCGGGGGGTACATCATAGGGATACTCCCTAGACCTGGTAGCAGAGTAGGTGATGGGTGACAGAAAGGCCACTTGGATGACATTCTCTCCAACCTGTTAACAAATGAAATATGGATGAAAAGGTAAAGGTGAGCAGGATCATTCAGAGTATATTCTTCACCTTCTTCTGGTCGGGGAAAGTGAATAGAATCGTGTGACCTTTCTTCAGGTTTCTTCCCTCATTAAACCTGATTGGGATGTACAGGTGAACTGCTACACCTGGGTTTCCCCTAGCTTTTCTGTGAAGATTGCAGAGCCAAAGGGTACGTCGCAAAGCTATCGACTCTCCTCCACACAGGGGTTTAATTTAGCATTCAGATAGGCAGAGTGTTTCCAGCTGTAACTATAAAGCCTGTGTCTATAAAGCAGGGGAGGAGCATGAGACACATCAATTATCTGCATGTGTTGGATTCGAACAACGACCTTTGGTTCAACTGGAAGATGCTCTACCGACAGCTAAACTGCCTTCTCTTTAATGATGTCAATGGAAAATGCATGACATTTCATTGAAATCACACCTTTAGCTGTAGACCACCTCTTTTCCACATTTTTAATGTCTTATAACTTTCTTGTTATTGTTAATGAATTTATTCTTGTTGATGATGAACTTGTTGTTGCTGTTCATGAATGTATTTTTTTTTTATACAAGTGGAAAGAAATGAATAAATCTTGAATTTTGAGTTATGAATGACATCTACAGTTCTAGGTGGATTTGGACATTGGTATGATTGGAAGTCTTCATTCATTTGAAAATGAACATTAATTTTTTATCCTAGAAACTGATGATCATTCTATTGACTTCATGTGATCGTTGTTCTTTCGATCAATTTACTATGTGGGATTTAATTTTCCATCATTACCATGACTCAAGTGTTTGCTCCTCTAACTTATGGGATTATTCCAACTGCAATATATAAAGCTATATATTCAATTGTAAACTATATATACTGCTTCAAAAGAAATAACAAACCTTTATGGCATGTTTTACGTCCCACACATGGTGTACAAACATGTTTGTTGATGAACCGATCAGAATGCCATTCAAAGTGACATCTGCGATTGTATCAAGGCCTTTACTCACAAGCTTCACGTTGTGTTTATTAGTGAAGTCACTTGTAACTGGAATGAAAAGAAATATTGCGGAGGAAGAATAATTTCACTCTGAATTATATCAGAAACAAAAAACTTTACGCTAAGTGAGTAAAAGAGAGAATGAGAGAGAGAGATAAAGCTACTAAGCTACCATTAAAAGGGTCCATTTATTTCCACAACAACAAACAATCTTTGTTAAACAGTTCTACACATTTCTTTGGGCACAAGATCAAGAATATTTCATAGAAAATTAGATCAAGGAGATCAAGTAAGTTGTCAGGTATGGACGAACAAAAAAATCATAGAAATCTATATATTCTTTAATTATAGCATTATTTTTCCCCTTATAATTTTAAGGTTCAATTTATCTTTGGAAGGTACAAGCTATATGCAAGAAGCACTTAACCGGGTCCTCAAATTATGGAGATCTTTACATCTACATTTAAATCTTACCAGCGAAGTTGAAAGTGTAGGTCCAGTTATCCCTGGCCACCCATTTATAGAGATCGTCATTGAATCGGTAGTAAGGATCAGACAGGATACCTGCTGCAATGAGGGCCGTGTGAACACTCCCTGGAACCTGCCCAGGAATGGAAATACCTACAGAACAGGTGGATGGTTATAAAATGAACATCCCTTTCAAAATATGAATTTTCCAAGGGCTAAATAGATCACATTTTGTGCTTCGAATTGGAAACGATAAGATTTTTCTTTACTGATACATACTGTAATTCCCCCAAAATGTTCAAAAAAAGAGTACATGGGTAGAGACTTTGTTGAAATTTTTTTTTTTTTAAATTGAACCCTTCAATAGGCTTATTTTATTATTTTTTTAATTTTCTGGAGTCAACTGCAATACAGCCATAGAAAAATGGACCCCAATGTATGCAGAGATATTTGCCCATTTTATCATGCATATATATGGTATATTTCTAGGGCTCTGAATTATAAGTTTTTTGAGCTAAACCACAAAATGTGGAAAAGTAGTCAAACAGAGTTTTGACTTTAATCTAGAGCTGCTCCTTCACCTGTCACAGTCACAATAAATAGTAAAGTGGAACCACGTTATTACAAACTTATTGTGATCAAGGAAATTACGGGGCAAATTATTCACATCGTTATTGAAAACATTTTATATAAGGGTTCAAACTTCAAAGTGAAGAGAACACAAAGAACTAACATTACAGAAAAATGGGACTGGCAAAATCACCTTGATAAAATGAAACTTTGTAAAAAAAAAGTGTGCTTTAATGCGACATGGTTCCACTGAAAAAACATCATATTTTATGATCATAAGCTTTTGATATTTGTAAATAAATCTGAACACATTATCATATTTATAAAAGTTATATTAATTCTATCGAGGAACAAGTATCAATCTATTTTAATCAGAAAATACAGGCGATATCTATTTAAACATTAAGCGTCTCTTATATTTTGTTTGCTTCACTGCAGGCCCTAGACTATATCATAAATCTTGTACTATTCCAAATTATCAATGTACAGGTACTTACTGCCATTTGCATTGGTTACCTTCCACTGCCCATTGAGGCCAAAGGTTAACTCTCCATTAATTCCCAACCAACCACTGGCAAGCAGTAACAAATAGACGAGAGCCCTGCAAAGGACCATTTTCCTATAAAGAAAAGTATGTAATTAAAAACTACCAAGGCACAAATATGTTCTTCACATTTTACAAAGACTCTAATATTTTAAGGTTTATCAAAATTATATCACAAGTGATAAACTTAAGCCTATTCACCCCCTAATTCAAATTCTTCTTCTTCTTTTCCTCATTCTTCATCATCTTCTCCTTCTCCTTCTTTTTATTATCATACTTTAATCATCTACTTCTTCTTTAAATTCTTAATCATCTGATCATCCTCTTCTTCTCCTCCTTCTTTAAGACTTTATATCATCATTCTTCTTCGTCGTCCTCTTCTCCTCCTCCTTCGTTTTATTATCATTTCTTCTTCTTCTTCTTCTTCTTCTTCTTCTTCTTCTTCTTCTTCTTCTTCTTCTTCTTCTTCTTCTTCTTCTTCTTCTTCTTCTTCTTCTTCTTCTTCTTCTTCTTCTTCTTCTTCTTCTTCTTCTTCTTCTTCTTCTTCTTCTTCTTCTTCTTCTTCTTCTTCTTCTTCTTCTTCTTCTTCTTCTTCTTCTTCTTCTTCTTCTTCTTCTTCTTCTTCTTCTTCTTCTTCTTTGGGTTAAGTCTACCTCCTTCACAGTTGAAGATTCTTGCAGACTGATGAGTTTGTGTGCTCTTACGAGAGCAAGGTGCATGGTGCAATGCTCTTTACATGGTGCAAGTTCTTCTTCTTCTTCTTCTTCTTCTTCTTCTTCAGTCCCCGGCCCAGCAAGCCTAGTTTTCAGCATCGCCATCCCATCGGGCAGAAACCCAGTCGTCAGGGACCCAGAGACGAGCACAGACATGCCGGTGGTGGAGCCGCAGCGCTCAGCTCAAGTTAGTGCTCCATTCGCCACAACCGGCAACCAACTTAACACTATGCAGTAACTGTATTACAGGTGCAGCATGCAGGTCGCGACTGAATTCAGAAGATTTGGTAGACCTAATTATACCAAAGATAAATAAAAGTCCACTCACCTAGCTTAAACAATTAGTTCTGTCAGAATTACTTACTGATTCATGATTCTTGGTCACTCTAGATTCGATCTGTCATTTAACGTATTTTGAAAGAACCTGTGCATGCAGACTAGATCACATGACAGGTCACCTGACAGGAGAGCGGACGTAGTATTGCGTAACCTCCCTTTTCAATTTTTATTCTGACTCGCCCTGCTCCCCTCCACGTGCTATGAGCTGCATTGATAAACAAAAATCCGTTTGCTTTTCTTGAATACATAGTATATAATTAAGTTTGTTTGTTCGCTCGTCTGTATGGATAGGGTTGGGGTCGAAGGGTCCGCTATTTCGCCTGTTTTGTTTTGGGGGCTTTGTTCTTGAACAATATTTATTTTGTAACGTTTTCAATTTTCTGCCTTTTTTAAATGTTATTTTGTACCCTTAAATATATTTTATTGTTATTATATGTTTCTAATTATGTAGATTATCTGTAAATATTGTGATTTCTCTTGATTTACCAATAAAAACACAGATTTTTTAAAAAAGAGAGAAAACAGTTTGTTAGTTTAATTTCCTATCTTTTTTTTTGGGGGGGGGGGGTCAAATTAAGATACATATCATCTTTCACCTACTCTACAAGTGTTAACTTTTAAATTTGTTAAACCAAGTCGACAATACTAATTCATTCAATCATTGAATGACAATTTATACAACACTCACTCATTCTTTTAATCACTTGTAAGCTGATATGATTGTTATTAAACAATATTTTGTTGAATGCGGTAGTGCAATTATCTGCAACTCCTGCTCACTTCAACCCCCCCCCCCCTCTATCTCTCTCTCTCTCTCTCCAAATCACCTATCATTCTTCTCTTCTCTTTTTTGTACTTTCGCATCACCAGGAACCCCCTAATGTATGTATTTAGCTTCAGTGGCGGATCCAGCCGGCGGGAAGAGGGGGGGGGGGGGGGGCCAATCCGTGAGAAAATATTAGTTGCGACGCAACCACCGGTGAATAAGCGGGGGGGGGGGGGGGGGGTAGGAGGCACTTTTTTTGTCCAATTTTTCAGGAAATATTTTACTTCGACTCAGCCAGCCGGTAAATAAGCAGGGGGGGGGGGGGGTGGGTAAGACCACTTTTTCGTTTTTTGGCCTTCTTCGTGAGAATAAAAAAAAAGAAACTTTTTTGCTGTTGTTGACCCGTCATTAATAACTCAATGAATGAGTGAAACATAACATAGGCTAAAAATTTAAGTATATTCAACAATTCTTCCAGCTTAGTGTTGTTTCCTTTGCTAACACATTCATATCTTAAAAATAATCTTAGCAACGACTTGAATTAAAAAAAACAAAGTATGTGGGTAACAAACAGAACCCTTAACAATCTTCTTTAAGCTACCGATAATAAGTCTGCTCAATCTGCCCAGCCTCCATTTAAAAAATGTTGATGCTTACTGTTCCTTTTCAAATGATGCATTACGAGGCAGGGGCGTGTGTCAGGGAAAAAGAATTGTGTTGTGATTATTTACCTCCATGCACCTCGCCCTCGGAGGTAAAACTGGATCCCCCTCCCTCCCACCCCCAAGATTTTATATTTATCCTCCCACTTTTAAATTCTCTTCACTCCCTGACGTATGCCTAACACTCGTACACTTCACTATTCTCTCAATTACTAAAATAAAATGTAATGTAACTCTACAGATTCCACATTCAATTGTCTTTTAACTTTGAATATAAAAGTTTTAATGAAACTTCTCTGTAAAACAATGAAAAAAGCCTTACGGAACAAGGGCAAGGCACTTCTGAAACATCTTGTTTTCATCATATCATATCCAATCATATCCGTACCATTCAAGTTAGGATCTTGCAAATTACAAACAAATAATATACACTGACATGGTACACTCACAATGATTGATTTTGAAAAAAAAACATAATAAATAAGCTTTGATTTAGTTACAGTACATAGTTAAACATTGTCTTGTCACTTTGAAGACACACACACACATTTGCCTTTGTTTCTTGGCAGGTTTATGTACTTGTCAAGGCAAAAAATATAGGCAGAAACAGATGTAAATATGAAAGCCGATCCTGTCTATTAAGGGCAACACAGCACAGGGGAGCTGTAAAAATACCATTATTGCAAGGTGTTCGTTTTGAAAGATTAAACACTTATTGAGGTCAGAAATGTTAACAGATAACAAAAAGTATACACCATGGAATCTCTTTGTAATGGTCATTAAAGAAAAAGTGGGGTTCTGGTTATGCGATTGCATTGTGAAAGAAACGAAGTGGAATTAATCCGAAAAGGTTGATCATCTAGACATCTAGCATATAAGTATTGGTGTGTACTGCAAGGTTCTAGAATCATCAAAATGATAAGAAATTTGGCCCAGTCTTGGTAAAGTTACAAGCACTGTACACAGAAATTCGTATATTGGACTACCGGTATACCAACATGTGGCAAAAAAAAAAATCTGTTCCGATTGTTATGCTATTACATGCCATATTTAGAATATTAAGGCATTTGAAGAGCCATGCTATTCAGGAACATTTTTCATCTGATGTTCTTCCACACTTGCATAATAACAATGATAACGCTCACAAATTATTTCGTACATCTTCCCAGAACTCAACCTTCTCTTTAAAGAGAAACTATTACATTGCTACACAAATATCTTAAAGAGGTTCAACACTAACTGAAGTCACAAAAGATGGCACAATCGAACCTTTCTATAAGGCAGGCACGACCATGCAATTCACACTTATTAAGAGTGGCAATTAAACATATATACAGGTGACTATTGGTAACATAACAATATGATTCAACAATAAAGCTTACACACGCCATTCCTAAATCTCTCCTCTCCCTCTCCATGTTTTTCTCTCTTCTTAAGCCCCACTGCACTACTTATAGCTACTTGCGCCCTCTATACAGCCAACAATGCCTAAGCTGTACCCGTTGATGCCCTTTTTCTCATGTTGATTGAGAGTTGATTTGATGAGATAACCACCTGCCAGTGACCTTGCAGGGAGGTCTAATCCCTCCTGACCAAACTAATGCAGAGGGGCTTTAAATCTTGACAATTTCCCTGGCTCACGAATCCATGAATTAACATCTGAAAACTTAAAAACGCTTTACTGTCTTGGATAGTACATGGCCTTTCATAATCTTAGACCAGTAAGTTATGAGACAAGTCAGAAGAAACATATTACCTTGTCATAAACACATTCACGGAAATCGACTTCAAGAAATCAATTTTAAACAAAGTAAAGTTTAGATATGTACGTCTGGAAGGTCTGTAAGTACTCAAGTGATTTTGAACTTTGTGACAATTTATGAGTGGTCCATGGTCATCTTCATATCTTTAATTCCCTGCATTACGAAAGTAAACATTGAAAGTTGTAAATTATCATTTTGAAAAGAGCAATTGCCAAACCCAACCTGGTGCCAAAGCCCACATGGCACATAATACTTACAACAAAAAAACAATAAAATCTTAAGTTTAAGGAATGATGTCAATTTTTGTCATACAGAATATTTTTAAAACAAATACCCTATGGCAATTAACCATTTTCACAGGAATTCTGTAAGAATGGATTTTCATGGAGACTACTTTTCTCACATAAGTGACAAAACCCTTCCTAAACAAATATAAGAATAATACTGCAGCACGTAGTGGAACACATAAACTGTGTCAACGACCTTGGCAAGTTGAATTCGGCTGTCATCAACATAATCTTAATGATTAATCACAAACAATCTGCAATGTGATATATCACTATCTATAAATAACATCAGCATATCAAGGTTTAATGCGCTTTATAATGTGCATGTATGGTACTGATACAAAAATAACATCAACATAATAACTTAATACATAGTACTATTTCGAACATCTCAGTGAACTTTTAAACACATCACCATGATACAAAAATTATCCCCAGACAAGAATCTTGTTTATTCTTGGGTCTAAGTAAATCAAAATGACAGATATACCTTGACATCCAGGAATGTGCAAAACTATGAAGTAGCATGATACGGTGAAGAAACATTAGGAGTACAGTGACCACCTGTATAGAGTGACCACCTGTATATAAAGACCACCTGTCTACAAAGACCAATTTTTTTTGTTTCCCTTAAAAACGGTTTTTCATTGAAACATGCACTACACGAACCTGTACATAATGGTGGTCTTTATAGACAGGTTTCATTGTATTTTGCTATAATTGAACAATGTTATAATAGCGTGAAATTATATGATGCAGTAGATGCAACAAATTATTAGCAAAGGCCTCTTTCTTTCCCTTTCACTTTTGGGGGCTTTGGCATGGTGTGCGAAGAAAGCAGAATGAAAGTTTTTTTCACCACTTTTGCGAGTGACCCAGAATCATGAAAGGTACATGTCACAAAATGGATGAATTGAAATGTTGAACTTAAAGTTCAACATTTCAATTCATCGATTTTGTGACATGTACTACAGTTATGTTATGAAAGTTTCTGGTGAAGGAGTGCAGTGAGTTCATAGAACTTTAAAATGACACTTATGAATAAATATTTACAGCTTTTGAGTTATAATATAAGCATTAGAGGTAAACAAATTGCTGAAATGTAGGAATACAAAAAAATGTGCCTGTTTTATTCCATGCAAAGAACTTTGGTTACATGTCACGCACATGGGGTTACAAAAAACATCTGCTTTTTGCTTGTTAAAATGAAGTCCCAAAATTGTGTTAAACATTTGCAATTTACTCATCTGAGTATATCATAATGTACAAGGCTTATTATTTCTTGTTATAACCTATCTTAAATCTCTGAAAAAATTAGAAAATTCAAACACACACATCAGTACAAACAAACAGAAATGCCCTTTCTTGTTTAGTTGTATTATATTCTATACACCAATGGCAGTGATATCAAGTCTGATAATCTGATATGAAGACATACATTGCTCGACATTGCTCAACTGTTGTTGTGAGCTGAAATCTCTCATCTAATTTACTCCTTTTGTTTACTGATATACTCAAGTATGGCAATGATTTGGAAGACTTTTTTTTTCATGAATCTCATATAAAAAAGAATTCTTTTAAACATTATTTGAATCTTACTGAGAATTCACACTAACGAAAGAACTCTTTGAAAAATAAGACAAGAAGTTATTAAAGTTTAACAAAAACAAGTGCAAAACAGTTATCGCCCAAAACTGGCAAGTATATGTTATACAAATCAAACTGCATTGTAAGACCTAAACTCTAACAACCTATCTTTTCACTGAAAATTACTGTTTCAATTGCTACATTTATCCATTTAAACCACATTAAACAAATAATGAGACCTGTTAAAAGTCTTAAGGAATAGTTATACGCTTGAGAATGACTATGATACAACTGGTTTGGAAAAGATACCTTTGCAAGTAACAACAATATCTCCAAGTACTGATAGAGACTAGAGGCCTCACAAGTTTAAAGGCACAGGCATAATGAAAACGTCAAGGTTAACATGTGATTTTATCAAGGTGAAATTTTATCAAAGTGTGATGATACTCTAATGGAAAGACTCATTTTGCATATTCAAATATTGACTGCTTTCAGTGGCGATGATTAAAACTATTGCTCCAGGATGACCATGAAGCTGTGGAATGCCCTGGCAAAACAAGGTCGAGCGGCATAGCATAGTCTCCAAATTATCGGGAGGTAAATGTTTTAACCATGACCAGCAAACAATCATCAATATTCGATTTGATATCAACTAGGACCCTTGCAGGGGTCTTTACAAAAAGGATGTGTGATAGAACACGCCCACTAGAATTCATATTTCTTCTTGGAATGATAACAGATGAGATTTTACAGAGTGCGCCGTTCACTATTCACCTCCACCATTCATAAGATGTGCGTGTAGTCAGTCGTGCACTGTATCCTTGTTTCATACATGAAATGTTAATGTAGAGCCCTGGGCAGTGTAATAGATAGTTTTTGACTGATTATTCAGATCGTTACTGTACGTCTGCGAATTGACAGGAGTGAGTTGTAGGGACGTCGATGGCTGGGTCCACTGGGTATTCGCAGGAGTTGGTAACGTCACATTCCTAGCAAGGTAGCCAATGACAGGACCAGGGATATTCCCTGCAGGTACAGGCTGTCTGGGAAGAGAGTTGAGTGTAACTCCAGGGTGTCCTGAGATGACATTGGCAGACACGGTTGTGATTGGATAAGGGGTACAGAGGGGAGGACTGTCACTGAACCTCCGCTGTTGAAGCTCCTGGTTGAGGATGAGGGGGTTAAGGAGTGACTGCAGTAGTGGTTGCTGCACCTGTCGTTGAGCCACAGGTGGTACAGGGACAAGACTGACCGGGGGCTGGGATGCAACAAGAATCGGCGATGCGGACTGGACACACGTTGCGCCCTGCGTATTTGAGGAAGATGGACTCGCCATGGGAATATTGATCAGGTGGTTGTTGGGAGAGATTCCGGAAGGCACGCTGCTAGACGTAGAGTTGATGATATTATTATTGGAAGCTATGGTTTGTACAGTCCCTGATAAATTACCACTCTGATTACGACAACTAGAAGGCACTGGCTGGGGTCTTATCTGCCTTTGTTGCATGGTCCGACCAGGAAATTCTTGGAAAGTAGAACCGTTCACTGCTCTTGCTGCTGATTTTACAGGAGGGACTCCGTCTGTAGAACCATACGTTTGTGATGAATGTCTCTTCCTGTTCCAAGCTATGGAAAAGGATAATAAAGAATAAAAAGCAAGGTTTAAGATATATTTTAATGTACCTTCAGTATGTAGTCAATCAGAGGTGGGAAAAGAAGCAAATAGGTCTGTTGAGAGCCAGAAGGGCATTAACACTTAACACTAAGATGTAACACCCTTCTCGCTTTTAGCAGATGATATACATAATCTATTATCTACCCATGAGAGAATAGGCATAACAATGCAACATTTGTAATATGACTTCTAGGTCAAACGTTTTCAATCAATATCTTATTTCAATATACCAGATTTTAATAAATATAAGTCTAAAAGCACAGTAAGTACACATAATGTAAAGCTCAAAAGACTGCAGAACAGGGTAACAGTTGGGATATATAATCAATTACATGCAATAAATTCCTTTGCAGGTGAATCTACAAACACTAGTATATTTTATAATGTGCTACGTATTTGTAAATAATGAACGAACAGAGCCACAAGTCTATCGGACCAACTTCATTGACATACTTACATTGTGCTTGTTGATAGGATGGTAATGATGAAGCGGGATGGGTAGTGTTCAGAGCATTTCTTGCAGCTGAAGCAGCTGCAGCGGTGGCTGCAAGGGAATAGACCTCAGAAGGCGTGCGCTGTTCCTCTACTATCCTTGCAGAATCGAGATCAAAGCTACCAAGTCCAGACGGTTCCAGCGTCGGACAACTCTCCTGTGCTTCATCTCGCAGTGAGAAAACCCTCAAGATGGAAGGCATATCGGAGAGATCGTCCGCCTCTGAGGCAGAAGCAGTTGATGTCTCTGGCACTCCCAGTGTTGCTGCCTGGTAGCCAGTTGCCGCAGGAAATTGATCCTCTGCAGAAGCCATTGTCGAAGCAGAAGCAGTCACCCTGAGAGGTGCAGAAGGAAGACCCTCTACAGAGACAACTGCTGAAGAACCAAGATCCCCCTCTGAAGCGGATGCTGTTACAGACGAAGAGGGGACAGTAGTTCCAGAGCTGGAAGGTTGTCCTTCATCTCCAGAAAGGGTCGATTCTTCCATGACCTTCAGTAACTGCATCCATTCTTCACGAATATCTTTCTCAGAGAAGCTTCCTGAAAAGAGAAGAAGACGTTGTAATATGTCTTTTTCTATAGCATAGTTATCAAATAAATAAAGTTTGTTGTTCTTTATAGCTATATTTTTATCCGGCTTTGGGCAAGCTACTCTGTTAAGGCACTCAAAACGGCCAAAGGAATTACTTCCTACCAGGTATCCGTTAACTTCACCTTTGTAAAGAGTGGCAAATGTAGATCAATGTCTTCCAGGGATCAAAAATTAAAAACTACAATGTACTTATCCAGAGGACCACAACACCTCTAAAATATTCTAGTTGCATTATATTTTATTGTATCTAACAGCTATTTAGATAGGCACTTTGATAGAGCAGAACCCGATTACTGATCAGGCTGCACTTTAAAAAAAATGAAATAAAGAATAAATTTGATTTGTCTTCATTGCACATGCGCAGCATCGTCCAGAGAATAAAATCATGTTCAAGAGAGTTCTCGTTTCAAACTGGCCGGAATTTTTCATTCTATTAACAACTTCACATGAACATGAAATAAGCTCTTTCAATCAAGTAAGAATTAAACACATAGTTCTCACCATCCCATGGAATGTCATCGGAAGATTTCCTCCTCCTCCTAGACTTGTTGTCCTTGTTTAATTTGCCACTTTTGGACCTTGACCGCTTCTGTTTCACAGGCTCTGTTCCACACAGCAATTGACGCACAAGGGGATGATCCTCCACAGTGGTTGACCACCCAGAGTCCATCGAGCCGCTACTTGGCTGAGCATCCACTCTCTGGCTACAAGAGTTTTCATTACTTGTAGCAACAGTGGCACCACAGGAATCTTTGACCGTTGCGCCCGCCGAGACAGCATTGGTTGGATCCATATCTGGCTGGTAATAGAAGTTCAGACTCCCCATGGTGTTGCCTCTCGCACCCATCAATGGTTCATTAGACAACTCCAAATTGGCTGCCAAGTTGAGAGCTGGAAGTATTGAGGGGGGGGGGGGGGGGTGATTTTTGAAAGTTAAGATTTAACATATAGATAAAATCGATAAGGACTACCAAAACCTCTCACCTTTCTATTTATTCAATGTGTAATCATTCTGTACAACTACACTGTCTGAAGGACCTTTACTACCAGGCCTCTTGGTACAATATTTCGTTCAATGTGTAACCTTGAAACAGAAACTGGTGTAATGCTTGAAAGACCATTACAAGAGGCCTTCACTCTGAATATGACGGACAAAGAAAGCGGACAAAATATACAGTTCCTCAGGTAGACAAAGGAACATCCCTTCACTGCTATTATGTAAAAAGGTGAATATGCATGTGACACCTGTTCTACACATTTTTACATAATAGCAGTGAAGGGATGTTCCTTTGTCTACCTGAGGAACTGTATATTTTGTCCGCTTTCTTTGTCAGTCATATTCATGGTGCTTGCCATTTTGCATCATGTAATATGTACATATTTCTGTCAAACAAGCAACTATTATGAACACATTAAGACTTGTAATAACTACCATACAAAGATTCAGTATGGAATCCTTCTGTAAATCACAATTTCTACTGAATTGCAAAAAAAGCAATGTGGCACAGATGCAGTGCATTCATATTATGTCATGAAAATTTCATATATCTAATATAATTCTTAATTTCATGTGAATTCTGCAAAATTTTATTGAATGCAACAGTTTTTATTTCATAGTACAGTCTACAAAGACCACCTGTCTATAAAGACCACTTTTAGTGTTTCCCTTGGGCGGTCTTTATAGACAGGTTTGACTGTAAATAGATATTTCTGACTGATTAGAGTACCTTTGGTAAAGCTGATATCACCCGGCTGGCAATCAAGCTGCAGCTCCTTCTGCGCCAGCTCCACCATGGCCGCATTACGCTTCCAGTTGTGGTCGCATGGATACGGGTTCAACTGCTGGATGCGAATCTGCACAGCCTCTGGGATGGGAGGTCTCTTTAGATTCGTGTTGGTAATGACACGACGCCGCTTAGAACCACGTCTTGGTTCCTGGATGGGCTTGGATGGCTGAGGGGCTGCCTCCGTAGAAGATGACGACAATGATGACGACAACGATGAAGACTTCTTGGAGTAGCGAGCTTTGTGGTTGATACTAACAGTGCTTTTTGGGAGATCCAAGCTACCAACAGATGCCTTTCTAGCTAAAATTCCAAGCTACGTATAAAAAAAAAAAAGGAAAAGAGGTTTATCTTGATGCACAACTGACCCTATATTATACCAACAGTGTTGTAGGGGAAATGGCATAGAGTACCAAAGCTGTGACGTCATAAAAATCTATTTTTAGAATTTCTCAATTTTTTATTCACATTCCGAAAGAACATCAAAAATAATGTCCAAATGTCGAAAACCAATTGAATATGTTAAGTATTGGCTGAGATATGACCATCTGAATAAATATACTCCCTATAGGAACTCAGTGTTACATGTATATGCTCTGGCTCCTAATGGTTAGGAGCCAGAGCATATTACACTGAGTTCCCATAGGACATATATTCATTCAGATGGTCATATCTCAGCCAATACTTAACATATTCAATTGGTTTTCGACATTTGGACATTATTTTTGATGTTCTTTCGGAATGTGAAAAAAAAATTGAGAAATTCTAAAAAATAGATTTTTGATGACGTCACACTTCACCACTCTATTGCTGCTTCAAATAAAGTAACCCCTCCAAATAACAAAAGAAGAAAATGATCTTTATCAAGAAAAACCAGTATTATTAAAGTGTAATTGTTTGCATCTATAATATTGCAGTTTGTTGTAGACACTCTCAGTCATTGATAAAAGTTAAAAGCCTTCGTCATGAAATAAACTATGGTCAAAGCATGGCATGATCATCCTACCTTGTCATAGCCATAACAAAAGTTTAACACAGAAATTGTTTAAAAACAAGATCCAGATAGAACGCTCAACATTATTCCAGAGTGTTATAATAAGAGTCTAAATGTTGATTTCCATTAAGATTTGAAAGGAAAAGTGCAATATGGCTTTTATCCAAGTTTTTCCTCATAAATGATATAAATGTACACAACGTACCATTAATCAAATTAATGTTTTCTTACATTAATTTTTTTTCTTCAATGATTTTAAAACAGAAATAGCAACATACTTTTTGTGTAAGGTCCAACACAAGTTTAGATAGACTCCTGGGATGCTTCACCTTTTCTGCAGAATTCTCCTTGTTTGAAGGTTTCAAATCTCCACCTAATATCAAATAACAAAACAACAAATAAATGAATTTGATGGATTGGCAAATTATGCCAGCAAGGTTAATATTCCAAGATTTCTTAAATATCTTTATGAAAATGTATGTACCTATGCAATGGATATTGCGAGCTGTCATGTGTAATTACTGTAATAATAAGTAGCATTCACTTCATAATATGTAAATTAATGTTATCACTTGTTGTAATGTCAGACAAGCATCACACAAGATTTGTGGTCATTAAAGCTAACTATTAAGAAAGACTAATGTATGGAATGCAGTTAATATATACATTGGTGACAGGTAAATTACTCTCCAGCTGTAGCAACCAGTTCTAAAGTATGTGAATATTTATCCCTAGTCTTCACGTGGCTTTAACAAAAGACTAGCCAAGTTCTCAAATAAAATTGTATTTGCTTGTAAGTGATTGAATGTCAGAAGTCAGCTATTTGACCTTATTGATGCTATGCCTGGAAAATCTGACCACAAGGGCCTTAATTCACAAAGGAGGTTTGTGAACAAACATCCTTTGTGAATTAGGGCCTACGAGTCTGCCACAAGCATACATGGGTTGTTAAAAAGCAATGATTATGCACAAGGTATGTATACAATTTACATTCGCTGTGAACAGCATTAGTTATAAAAGAAAGGGTCGCATACATCACTTGTTGCTATGTTTGGTAAACTTTGAACAAGAAAAGGGGGGTCATTGAGAGCTACCATTGTGAAACAGGTGTGCAATATGTTTGCAAAGATGTTAAGGGTCTGTCTGGTAAAGGTCAAACATCTCATACACAAATTCAAGACAAGTCAGGACAAGAGAGACCCCCCCCCCCTCCTCCATCCCTTCTAAGAGAAAGGCTGTTGCAAGGGTCAAAATTTGTGTGCATGTTGACGAACCATATTATTTAGCAATTCCTAAAAAATCTGATGTCTTTGCACATAAACAAGTTGTTGCTCCATTGAAAGAACAATACATGTATCAAAGTGGAAGTTCAAAGGCTTTTTATAAACAAAAGTGATTTGCTGTTGTGTTGTTGTGTTGTTGTTGTTGTTGTTGTTGTGTTTTTTTGGGGGGGGGGAGTCTTTGTTTTCATTATCAATTCTGTTGGTTTAGTTAATGAGCAAGTCCAAGTTAACCTGTCCACATACAATGTACCATGTATAAACCAAACACAACTAATATTCTGGTTTATCTGAAGGTAATAGTCCTGTAACAGCTTGGATTGGACACAGTATCAAGTACATGTTGCTTTCAAAATGGATCTATGTTTATAATTCCACACCAAAGGGACACACATGACCAAATACAGTGGAACCTTCAACCTCATTATAAAGAGTTCTGATATAACGAGGTATCTGTTGTAACAAGGTGGCTTTGCTAGTTCCAGCTCTTTATATTCTTTTGATTTTTTACCCGATATAACAAGAACATTTCTATAACAAGGTTCTACTGTTCCTTGGACTTACTTGCTCGAACGTGGAAAATCATTAAGTTCAACTTACTAGGAGTATTTGTTCCCGACAGGGTGTCCTTCTCTGCTGCAACACCAGGTTCAGATCTGACTTTTATGTCAGTTTTAGCAGGCCAAAGATTTGCAGCATCACTTGAAGAACTAGTCTGGGGTTGATGATCCTCCGAAGTGGCAGATGAATTAATAGCAGTAACTGCTAAGTCTCCTGCTTCAAATACCTCTGAAAGTTCTGTGGTGGTTGTTCCTGCCTTGACAGATGGTGATCCCTTCCTGTCAGCATGAACCTTGGTTTCACAAGGTACAGAATCATCGCTTGAAGGAGCGGAGCCTCTGGCAGGAACAAGATCCTCAACTTCACCCAGAACTGCTCCGACATTTCCAAAACTTTCTTCCTCCAATGGAGGATTTCCACCGCTTGTCATCAAACCTTCTTCCAATGAACCTTGATCCATTACACATGTAACCGAGCTTGAGGACTCTGCACCATATGCAGGTGTATTTGCTTTAGATGCAATGAAACTGTCAAGGGATGTGTTGACACTGTTCTCTGTAAAGGCATTGTCTTCGAGTGGACTCTCCACTGGATCACATGTAGTCGCATCTTTGAAGAGTTCATCCTCAGATGGTGAACCCTCATGAACCATAGTCTGCTTGACAGGGTCTAACATTTCTTCGGAAGCATCATGCTCTGCATTCCGCTCTGCTTCGTCAAGTTCATCTGATGTTAGATCTTCTGCAGCATTGAGGCTTGTGTCTGCATCGCAGTATGAATTGACCTCATCTGAAGTTTGAGAGTTATCATGTTTGACATCGTCTTCTGATAAGTCTACTGCAGGATCACCTGGGGAAGCAGAGACTTCTGATAAGTCTACTGCAGGATCACCTGGGGAAGCAGAGACATCTTCTTGAGCATCTTGTTCTTGGGCAGGATATTTGGGAGGACATTTCATCAGATCACAAGCTTCCATATCTATGACAAGTTCATCAGATGTTGAATCCTCATGAACCACAGTCAACTTGACAGAGTCCCACTTTTCTTCGGAAGCATCACTTCTGGATGTAGTGGTATTAATTCCTGCAGGGTCATTCCCTGCGAGAGAACACTCTTTCTGTTCACATGTTATCTCATCACTACAGAGCCCATCTGATGTCGAGTCTCTAAGTTCATTATTCTCCTGTGAAGAGTCTGTTCCTGCTACTACTACAGCATCATTTTCTAAAGCATCCATTGCATGGAGTGGACTTTCCACCTCACCACATGCATTCACATCTATGACATGTACTGAATCCCCATCCTCTACACTCTGCTCTGCTTCATCAAGTTCATCTGATTTGAGATCTTCTGCAGCATTGAGGCTTGTGTCTGCATCACAGCATGAATTGAGCTCATCTGAAGCTTGATAGTTATCCAGTTTGACATCGTCTTCTGCTGAGTCTACTGCAGGATCACCTTGGGAAGCAGAGGTTTCTTCTGGAACATCTTGTTCTTGGGGAGGATATTTCATTAGATCATATGCTTCCATGTCTATGACAAGTTCATCTGATGATGAATCATTACAATCAACACTCCACCCTGGTGGGTCTAGACTTACATCTTCACTATCCCTTAGGGAACCGCTGGTATTTTCTGAAACATTTTGGTCTTGGAGAGGTTGGTCCATCTGATCACATGGTTCCATGTCTATGACAAGTTCATCTGATGATGAGTCGTTACGTCCTACATCCTGCTTTGATGTGGCGAGAAGCCTCTCTGATAACTTGTGATCATCACAATCATTGGATATGGTCGAGACATTTTCACAGATGATGTCCAATTTAATATCATCACAGATCATGTCCAATTCAATATCATTACAGTCTAGTTCCATGTCTGCATCAGGTGTTGTGTTCATATCAACAGGATCATTGGACTTTTCCTCTGTACTATCTGATACACCCTGGCTCTCTGAAAGACTATCTCTGACTGATGGAGTATGCAGAAGTGTAACATTTTCCAATGCAATGGGCAAGACTTGGTTAACAGATGTCGCTGGGGCATCGATTTGGAGGCTCTTAGGACTACCCTTTTCAGACCCCTTCTTTGAAAGGTCAGGGGTCCCGTTCATAAAATCCTTGGAACTGGGAGTGCTTGGAGCTACTGTGGACATAAGTATCACTTCATCGGTTTCACTACAACAGTCAAAGTCAACCACTTTAGGTGAATCCTTTTTCTTTGTTGCCTTTGAAGATGTAGGGTTAGTTGGGCTGCTTGCAGAGGGTTTAAAAGCACCAGCTGATATTCCCTTTCCCACCGACTGATCCTTCGATACTTTGTTTCCAGGAGATTCCTTCCTTGTTTTCTTGGGCGGCAATGAGGAAACCACTATCTCCTCATCATCACTTATATCAAGCTCTGAGACTTCACTAGTTTCTGCATTTTTAACAACCTGTGGAGAAGGGCTTTCAGGTTTACTTAAAGAGTGGGTAATTACTGTGGAATCCTCTGGACTTGCAGTCATATTAGGCTCAGTTTCCTCTGTATCACTGCAACTGACCACTATCTCCTCATCATCTCTTAAATCAAGCTCTGAGACTTCACTCGTTTCTGCATTTTTCACAACCTTTGAAGAAGGGCTTTCAAGTTTGCTTGAAGAGTGGGTACTTACTGAGGAATCCTCTTGACTTGCAGTCATTTTAGGCTCAATTTCCTCTGTATCACTGCAACTGACTTCATCTACTACCATGTATGGTGAGCAGATGTCATAATAAGGAGAGTCTATGTTCTCATACAAATCTTGGCACTCTGTGGCTGGCTTTTCACTAATTTCCTTCTCCTCCTCCTCCTTCCCACAACTGCTTTTAGTTCTCTTCATCAATTCCTCAGAAATCTTGTCAACTTCTAATGGGGTCTCCCCCGAATCCGCTCCAGTCCTCTCGACATCTTCTGTACTTCTCTCTCGTTCCACAGGCCCTTTGTTAGCTTCACAGTTTTCCACAAAATCAGCAGGACTTTTCTCAGCTTCTTCCATGAACTCCATTAATACTACCGGAGTCTCTTCAAATTCTTCCTCGCTTTCCATCAAATTATCCGAAGCGTTCTGATATTTTTCTTTGTTAACTTCCATGTCTTCTAGCTCATCAGCAGAAGTCTGTTCTACTTCTGTCATGGTTTCAGCCTCTTCTTCCGGAGACTTCTCCTTGTCTTCTGTGTTTTCCATCGCATATCCTGATATCTTCTCATTTTCTTTACTTTCCTTCACAACTGCTGAAAAAGTCTCCTCAATCCCTTCCACTTCTCCTGACAAATCTGCTGGAACCTTCTCAAGATCAACAGAAGAACTCACTTCACAACTGTCATCCTCAAATATACTCTCTGTATTTCCTCTGTTGGGGTCCTCATTGCTTGCCAGAGTGTCTTGAGATGAAGAAGGTGTTGATTCTCCATCTGGTGACGCTGGCCTCTCCATGAACGGTATATCCTTGGTGGACTTCTCAGCTGAGGAAGCAATTGAACTCCATAACTTGTTTGATTCCTGATCTTGTAAGGATGAACCATCAATGAAGGGTATCTCTTTGAGCGATGTCTCTGTTGGCGATGCTATTGAACTCCATACCTTATTCGATGTCTCCACTGAGGAGGCAATCGAACTCCAGATGGATTTCTCCGCTGCCTTTGGCACACTGGATAATTTCACAGACACATTGGCATTAATATCAGTCTTGTCATCTATACACAGTGGGTTGCTGTCTTTGTTTTCCTTATGTCGACGGGTGGAGTTCATCTTGCTAGAAACAGTAACCTCTCTCCGGTCAGAGTAAGAAGACAGATTAATCTTTATCAAATTGACAGACAGTTCCCTTTTGAATAGAAAGTTGCCACTGTAAGGATCCCAGATTTTGTCATCTGAAATAACAGGGTCACATCTTTTTCCAACTTCTTTGCCAGAATTCATTTCTTCACTGTTCTTTCCTTGCAACAAACGCTTTGTTATTCTGATGTCTATTTCACAAGAGTTCTTGTCTGGAGAATCTGGAGACAAGGGACGTCTCTTATGACGATGGTTCTGCAGAGCGCTTATTTCCTCTACTGTGGAAGAAACGACGGATGACTGACTGGTTGATGTAGAACTTACATCACATTTTACTGGTGATACAGGTAGGTTTTTCTTATTATCTTGATGCACCTGACTTGAAGACTTCAACGGAATTCTTGTCAGGTTTCTCCCATCTGTCATTCTATTTGCACAATCTGCAAGAGCACTGTGCTGTCTTTTCCTTGAAAGAACTGGAATGGACTTGCTATTTCCCAAGGCATCTGTCATGTCCTTCTTTTTCTTTGTTAATTTGTGAGTTCTCTTATTTTGATCATCTTGGAAGTCTTCTGCATCTGAAGAATCAGACAGACTGATGTTGGCCTTTCCTTGTGGCAATGAGAGAGCAGAAAAGAGGCCTGTACGCCCGGTGGAAGTTCTAGCTGGCATCTTGCACTTTAATTTGGATTTCTCTTCACACCCACCACTTTCTTTAAGCACATTCCCAGTCTTTGCCTCATTCATTAAAGGATTTGGTTTCTGAGAAAGAAGCATTTTGATTTTCTTTCCTTTTCTGGAACTATCTTTGCATTTCTTTTTGTGAATGGAGGATGAGGATACCTCTACTACAGGTCGACAATGATTTAGGTTCCTTAAATTCTTCTCAGCTGCTCTATGATGCTCATTAACCAGAGAACCAAGGACCTCTGGGACTTTTCTTCTGGTGACGGGACCTTTTATTTGTCTTTCATGTTTCCTCTCTACTTCAACTGTCCTATTAATACTAACTGGAGTGGAGGTGACTCCTCTTTGTCGTGTCCCTTCTGGTTCTATCGCTCTTTGGTAGCCAACCTGACTGATATTGCTGGTTGCATCCATTTTCTTTGGTACAACAGTGTTCTTTACTTTGTGGGTGAGTTGATTTTGTTTCAGAAGACACTCCGATTGCAGCAAAGACCTCTTCTTCTCGGATACTTTCTTGGCGGTGTTTATGCCACCTTGTGTAGCTTTCAATCCTCCACGCTCACGAGAATCTGCTACTTTATCTCTTCTTTCAATGCCCCTTAGAACAGGTTTAACAACAAGAAAATTTTGGGAATCTGCCTCTTTCAGTATTTTCTTTTCAGATCTAGATACAAGTTTCTTTCTCATAGACTTCCGTGTGTCCACTTCTTTCACTATTCTGGTCATGCTACCCTGCGCTGGTTTCCTTCTGATATACTGATGTGACTCTGCTTCTTTTCTTTCTCTGTGAATGGAATCCTTTTGAAGTTTTGTGGCACTGCTCTCCTGGGGATTTCCTATTTTATGTTTTATCCCGACATCTCCTGGTGAAGATCTTGTCCTTTTATGTTCCACAGAGTCTGCCACCTTGTCTTTTCTCTTGATACAGCCCTGCATGGGTTCAAGTCTTTGCATCACCTCTGATCCATTCACCATACCAACATCACCACCGTCCTTGAAATTCACTCTCATTCGCCCTCTCGTCTCCGCTGATTCCACTGTCCGATTAAAACATCCTTCCGCAGATCTTGCATCACTATGTTGCCTTGTATCTTGCTTTCTGAGTATTCCTCTGATGTGTCCCTTCCTTGCTTGTACCCTATCTTTTCTCCTATCTTCCGCTCCTTTCACATGTTCCTGAACATCTCGGTTTTTATGAGCATTTCCATAAGTACAGTCTAATTGCTTTGACAAAGAACCGGTCTTTGCTTTGTGCGCATGGGGCATAGAGGAGCTCAATCCTTTACTTAGGGATGCTGTCTTCACTTTCTGTGGACTGATGTATGGTTTGGCCTTCACTCGGTTCTGCTGTTGATGGAACCACATCCAAACATGGGCTGACATCACTTGCAGCTGAGATGAGATATGATCTACTTGATTCCTGCTAGGTGTGGGATTGATGTCAAACCAGACCTGGCAATGGAACAAGAAAAAGATATCAATCTGTTTAACAAATATCATATAAAAAGTAGATAAAGGTGACTCAATCTCCAGTTATGACAAATATCAGACATGTAAAGGACAATAATACCACTACATTTTGCACCCCTAATAATGTAATGAGTTCACCTTTTACTTCTTGCGTAAGTGTGGTTGGAAACTCATTGAACTGAATTGAACTGAATTGAATTGAATTGAATTTATCGATAGATTTGTAAGTTTTCATACAACAGAAATTATATTTCCATTGATTGAACAATAAAAATGAATGAAGATCATGTCAAAGCAGAATAACAGAAGAACGTTTGAAGTCGAATGAATATTGATGAAAGAATACAAAATTGAGGTTTTCTGCGTACAACAGAAAACCCCAAATTATGTATCATTTTATCAATATTTTTCTTTAAACACTTTTTTTTGGGGGGGGGGGGGAGGAAGGGGGGGGTGAATCTTTGCAGAAGTGTGTCTTAAAGGTACTATGTCCCATTTGCAGGCCAAAAAAATGAAAAAGGTAAATTCCAACTGCATTTGAAAGATAATACTAATTTAGAACTTCCCTAAAAATGGTGGGGCTTGAAAATGTCTTCAAGTGGGAAAATAACGACTATTAGTTGTCAAATCGACTTTAGGGCTGTAGAGCCCAAAAGTAATAGTCTTGATTTTCAGACAATTGTACCGAATGGTCATACGTTTTATGCTGCGCGCAGATTCAATCAGTTTAATCTTTGCCATCACAAGAAGTGAGTTATTGATATAGACAAATGCTCATGTACCCTTTACAATTCTTTTCATGTATGTTATTACCAAAGAAGAAAAAAAGCCAGTCAGTCACTCAATAGTGTCTGACAGTGAAGTCTAGCAAGTAAATGGGTTTCCTCGCATAATTTGAATATGAGGACCCTGCTAACATTTAAATTTCACAGATAGGACATACATGACATTCATAATTCATGCAAAGTTCTACAGCATTTGAGGTTGGCTGCAAAAGGGACATAGTACCTTTAAAGACACCCTCTTTTCACATCATGATACCATTAACATTACAAGTGAAATTGTGCCAACAAAATTAGGGCGAATTTAGGGCTCCCAACACTTTAGAGGGCTTTAAGACTTACATGTATCAGAGTATAACGGGTTACACTTTTTTAAAACATTCCTTCCAGCTTTTATTCTTATGTTTAGTTTTGTTTACTCCCTGTTCCTTTCAGTTCTCAGAAAATGTATAACTCATTTGTCAAAATGACCATCTTGACTTCTTCCCTCATTTTAGATTCTACAGCTTTAAAGGCCAAATAAAACACATTTTTTTGTTTCTAGTGCCTCATAATTTTTCACGCTCTCTCCTATTTCCCTCAGTTACTTGACATTTTTGTTGGACATAAAATGTAGAATCAGATCAAATGTAAGCATTGAAGGTACAACATTATTCAATGTGTAAGAAAATATGAAAATGTCAGTTAAAATTAAACCAACAACATTCTATCTCTAGAGAACCACCAATTGTTATCATAATATCATGGAATTCCCGCTTCTTCATTTTCAAGGAATCTGGACAAGAAACTGATAATAACTTTAACGACTTAAGATCAAGTTTTGTACACTACATGTACAAGTACATGTACGTGTATCAGGGGGTTCAGGAAAGATTTATGTCAATTAAATATTAAACCAATCTATTCACTTGTGTCGAGGTGATAGGGATCGAACATACAAATCCACTCGTAAATACTTGCCTTCAATCTTTCCACCTGGTCATTATCAAAGTTGGTTTTGGTTGCCATGATGATTTCTAATTAATGTACATGTAGTACTGACTGATCATGTAAAGGATTGGAGAAACATTCTGCATGGTAGAAAAAACGAGAGAAAATCATATTAGTCGAGTGAGATGACCCAGTCAATGACCTCAACAGTCAACACCATTTCGAAATGTAATATTATTCAATAATTCATAAAGGGTTCCCCCCCCCCCCCCCCCCCGGCTCCTGCCCCCTTTAAAAAGCAAAATAAAGTAGCAAAACAAAAAGGGGGGAAAAGGGCAAGAAAAAAGGTGGGCAGTAAAAAATGAAATGTCTTTCTTGATTCAGTGGCAAAATTGGTATAATTTCATCCACTCTTCAAAATGATAGAGCAGGATGTGGTGGGGGAGATGGAAATGTAATATTTAAATTACCCCTCAAGGCCTCAAAGGCTTTAACAGGGATTGCTTTTGCTCCTGTTTACAATAGACCACACAATATACCAACGTGCTATTGCATCACCAGGAAAAGAAAGGTAGTACGGAAATATTCCAATAATTGCATGAAAGAATGCAATTCTTTTGTGAGCATGTGCTGAGCTGGTGAAAGTTACATAGCAATGTCTCTTGTTAGCTCACTAATGATCGACAGATGATGTCACAAGATGAATGGGATCTGGAGCTTTATTTGTGGTCGAGCTTAAAGGCCCACTGCACTACATGGTAGCTACTTGCTCCCTCTATATAACAAACAATGCGTAATCGGTGACCATTGGTCCCCCATGATCCTCTTTTTCTTATGTTAACTGAGAGCCGAGTTGATGAGATAACCACCTGTCCAGTGACCTTGCAGAGTGGTCTAATCCCTCCAATAAACTAGTACAGATAAGCTTTAAAGCTTATCTGCCATAGTTTACTGGTCACCGATTAGTCATTGTTTTCTATGTAGAGGGAGCAAGTAGCTACAAGTAGGACAGTGTGGCTTTAAGCAGGTCTGAGGTTATTTTTGTTTAAATATTCAAAAATCTATAAAATATATTTAGATGTTTGAATAACAAAATATGGGTTGTATGCAGCCCTGCACATCAACATGAACAAACTTATAAATATATAATTGGATGTCACCCGATCTTTAACATGATTTATTAACTCATCCGATTGCTGTTCTCTTTAAGAAATCAGCAGGATATTACATTTCCTATCTTCCAGAACTTTCTTGCCGCTTTCTCACACCCACATCACAACATGCCGACTCTCACTCGTTGAAATCGCGGTAGATCTTACTTCTGCATGTTGATGGCATTGCAAGTGGTCCATCCAAACTTCCTGGTCCTAAATAAGTTACCAGAACCTGGCCTGTCTAACCATATTTCGGTGTGATCACAGGAACCGAGTTTGGTACAACAAACTGCACTGACCGAACATTCATTCCATGTTGTTCATATTTAATGCCAGGAAAAGCGACTAAATGAAATAGAGTATCAGCAAAGTTAACTTCTCGTGTGGATTTAAGAAATTGAAAAGAAATTCTGTACGCAAATACACCTGATCGGCCGTCTTGCGCACACCACTTAATCCGCATCTATTGTCACTGAATTTGCATAATGCATTGAAGCACCTACAATTATTTGTGGTACCAATTATAAACGCAACATTGTGGATGCAACGGACGAACTCGACTCACAAAAGGAATTAGGAATTTGTAAGGAACTGTGTAGATAATTGTACTCGAGTTTCATTGAAACGACCTCAGAAGTCGGCCACTATAAGCGCGCATAGACTTTACAAGTCCATCCCCGCTTTCACACACGGGAAATGTTTTTAAAAGCTGATTAATTATAAGAGCTCTAAACTAATCAGCTTTACATACAACATCATTAACACACAGAAAATTCCGGTGCGATCAAAACATGCAGAGATCTCGCATACTGTATGAACATTACGGAACCAGCAACAGGTGAATATTCTCACAATTTCTGAGCCAAGAAGAAAAAAGAAACAAATAATTTGAAATATGTTTCCCCTCAAAGAATAAGAAGGATTAAAGGACCTTGCATTCTGCGCGTACCAGGGATACACAGATGTAAACCCTAGAATGTTTTCTAATTTTTGATGATTCTTCAAAGAAAAGAACTTATCGGTAATCAGTGTTTCAAATTCGCCGTCTCTACCATTGAAGAGAATCCAAAGAAAAGAACTTATCGGTAATCAGTGTTTCAAATTCGCCGTCTCTACCATTGAAGAGAATCCAAAGAAAAGAACTTACCGGTAATCAGTGTTTCAAATTCGCGTCTCTACCACTGAAAAGAATCCACCTTGTTCATGTTGGGACGTCGGCAAACCTTTTTACATGTTAGTACCGGGGGCAATTTTGGATGAGATGTGTGCATAAATTTGAATGGCGCGGTACATTATCTGACCTTCGGGTCAGTGGGTTTTCCCAGTCCCTAAAAATAAGTTGAGGCCTAACAGGAAGATCAGTATTGTATATCACCAAGCAAGGAAAAACAAAGTGTTAATACGATCTGGGGGGGGGGGGGGTGTCTTTTTTTCTTCTCAATATTTGTTCCTGTCCATCCTCAAGTTTGAATTCACTGGCACCTTTTTTCGACCACGAGGTTTGATCTATTCTTACGTCTCGGTGTGGATGGGGAGGGAAAGAGGGAGAATTGCAAAGCAAAACCCTGGAGTGTGTCAATTATCGGCGGTGGTTGGCAGCCAGAGAGGTGACATTAATCTCCGGAGAATATGTAGGTAGTTGTAAGCAAATAATCCCGTGGAATTTTAAAGGCGATAAGACTGCTGAGCGAGTTTGTTTGGTGCAAGTGGTATTCAAAACAAGGAGTTGGATGTCGGGGATTAACATTACATTCACGCTTGATCTTCTTACTGGAGCTCTTAACAAAACGCTTTTTTTAATTCCACGAAGAGAAGGAGTTTGTATAGCCGTCAGCCTAATTACTCCTTAATCATACAATGTGTAGCTCGGGTGCCTTGCAGAAGAGCATTATTCCAATGCAATTTACAGCAGCAATCACAATCTAGCACCCATTAAAGATAAACTTGAGTTCTGGTAATGCGATTGCATTGTGAAAGAAAAGGTGTGGAATGTATCAGAAAAGTTGATCATATAGCACGTAAGTAATGGTGTGTAATGCAAGGTTCTGGAGTCATCAAAATCATCATAAATTTGGCAGAGTCTTGGTAAAGTAACAATCACTTACACAGAAAGATGTATATGGGACAACACACATGGTGTCGGTGCTAGTACTACCCTTATTTCCTTATCTTTCTATGCTCATTACTCAGCCAGTATACATTTTCTTCCAAAATTGTTTGGCTCATGACATTTATTTGTAATCTTGATCATTCAGTGCAAGTTTCGTTAGATTATGTGAGAATTCATTTTCTTTTTTTTTTTTACCAGAACTCAAGTTTTTTTTCCCTCTACAGGTATGTGGATATTTTGCCATCTACATCATGTACGTCACACAACTTTAGTTTAAAGGGATAGTTGAGTTCTGTTTTCAGACCGCAAATGCCTTCAAGGTGCATGGTTATTGCTCTTATTCTTATCTATGACATTTATAGTGCCCTTTTAGAACCTAAAATTGCTATGAAGGTAATTTTAGACCCCAAAATGTGTGAAATTTAGCCAATACGATCATAGAAATTCAGTTCCACTTTCAAAAAAACATGGTGACCGTTAATTAATTATTTAATTAAAAATATCAATACATGAGCCGGCTTATTGTGGGTAATATAAGCAACACGAAAATGCCAACAAAAAAGCCAACATCGGCATACGACGTAAAAAGGCATTATTTCGTTTTTTTCAACGGTTTTTTCAAATTTGTCAAAATATCGAATATTTGTGGTGGTACACAAGTATTAGAAATCGTTATATTTCAGCCGTCTCGGAACCGATCTTATCAAGCAAAGATGATTTTGTCATTTAAATATTATGTTCTTTCAAATTTGACACTCGGTTTTTCATTTTCTCACAAAAAAATTAGTTTGTGTAGTGCCCTCTGCAACAGAACTCAACTATCCCTTTAATTGTACCACTGAAAGGTGAAAAGGCCTAAATCGTATTTGTGGGAGATGAAAAAAACGCACATTTCATGTAGGACATACGATTTCAAGAGAAATGAACGGTGGTAGTTATTTTACCTGACTGCTAAGAAAGCATATATATGCAACCAGATGTCTTGCACTTCAAGAAAAATAAAGACAAGTTACATAAACTTCAGATTCAAATCTTAATTTTAAAAAAACACAAATTTCCCCTGTCAGCACAGATAACTCCGATAATTATGTCTGACGTCTACATCTGAACCCAACGTGGTCAACGTCAAATGGAAATCCCCCCCCCCCCCCCCAAAAAAAAAAGGGGGGGGGGGGTAATTTGCGATCGGTCAGTGCACCCTCCTAATTCCGGTGATGATTCTTCGCAATTTCTTCGTAAATCTGATGACCACACTTTCCACTACGGAGTACACATTCCGCATAAATCATTGATGTTTGCCAGTCCACACTTGTTTACATACTCGAAACAAAAGGCAGCTTTGTCCAGTCCCGACAGATGACGCATCCCGGTTTATCCATCTTCCTGACCAGTAGTACATGTCTAGTCTGCGTCCACAGACTCTAATGTGACACATTATTAAACTACAACCATGATTTTCACAACATCGTCAGCTCAGCCTTGCATAAATTAAATTCTGCAATCAGTCTCTGCCATTCTCTGGCTGTGTCATGACTAGCTATACCTGGTAACAATTACGTTGTTCAGTACAGAGGGAAGTCTTTCTTACAGTTTATCCATATACAAACTAGACAAAAAAAATAGAGACATCTGCATCCCTGCTCCCCTTCCTATGCCAGCCATGTGGGTTGGGATAAGTTGACGATACGTTGGCATTGTCAACATGATCATGAAACGATTTCTTGTTAAACCGAACTGCTCAACTCTCTTTACCCAACTTCTTTGACTTTTATTCAAAAATGTTTCACAAATTAGACATTGTGAATAAACAATGAATAGTGACAAAACAGTAAACAGAGACTGTGGAAACCCCTCCTCCCCTCAAGTCTAGAACCTGACATACACGTACAGTACATGACTATGACCTCACCTTGGAGCGATGAAGATGAAGAGTCTCATGAGAATTCGTCGGAAAGAAAGCTGGTGAAAAAGTATGAGCTGAAAATGTGAATTTATGATGATGCCGCCGTGTACCTAGCCTCTTGTCGATGCCCTCGCGCTGTTGGAGTCTCTAAATTCTGACGAGCGAAGCGAGTCAGAGAAACCGAGGCGCTTGCGCGGAGGGCCTCTTGACAAGTGATCTGAATTTCTTATGTTTTACTTTGTTTGGCGAATATTCCGACCCAGCAGAGTTCGGTGAAAGTCATCCAATCAGAGAGAGCTACTATGACGTAATATCTACCGCTCTGTGCGAATTCCCTCCGTGAGAGCGAGACTGGCCGCCTAGTTGTAGTCTGCAAGCACAAACCCTGGTCAGTCGTAAAAGAGAGTGTGCACTATAAGACTACCATATGCCACGTACTATAGCTGCTCCTGACCTATATTGGTACAACCAGTAGGTACCAGTAGATAGCTGGGATAGGCTTCTCTCAAGGCACAATGATTTTTTGATACAGTGTCAAATTAGGGTTTGTGCTTGCAGACTAGCCTAGTTGGGCAATCCCGAACACACACGTACAAACACACAATCGCTGCGGTCTAGACATGCATAATTCAGTAGGAAATCGGGTCTCATGAATATATAATTCAGATCACTTGTCAAGAGGCCCTCCGCGCAAGCGCCTCGGTTTCTCTGACTCGCTTCGCTCGTCAGAATTTAGAGACTCCAACAGCGCGAGGGCATCGACAAGAGGCTACCGTGTACCACGCTCATCACAAACTCATCCAATCTGTGAAGTGTTTCCGACTAACCTGAGAACGCCGACTGATGAGAACGGGTCTTATAGCCCAGTCAGTTCGGAGAACGGATACCATGTGCGCATGGGCAGACAAGTCACATACAATGTAGGAACATGCTGAATTATGCACCAAGTTCCAAATGGTGCATTCCACATCCAATGCCCAATGATGCACAGGAATTTCCTTTTTATCTTCTTCACCTGATTCTCCTTTGTTCACTGGCTTCAAAACGGAAGGCAAATCTTTTCATCATGTTTATGCCAAGAACTTGTTTACTCAGCTCGCAATGTCCCAATAGCCACTCTAAACAATACACAATGTTTAACAATTTTATGCCTCCTTCTTGAACAATAGACCAGTTTACGGCTAGCACATGTCCCAAATGACCCCAAATAAGATCTTCAAAACATGAAGAGGTCCCACTTTGCACATTTTGAAATAATCACTCCTACAGCGACGGAGGTGCTACAAACAGTGTGTGTAAATAGCCTTTGTGTCCCCGTTCCAAAGAATACTTCCACTTGTGTATCATGGAGTGCACTGCTCGTGCATAAATGAATAATGATTACATAACTTTCATGAGCACATGTCATGTATATTGTCTCCAGTGTATTTCACGATTTGTCCTGCAATGACCTTTATCTGCTCATGCTCAGACTGCAGCCGTGAAATGGCTGATTTCATGGACCTTATTTTAAACGGCAGAAAAAAGCATCCGAGAGTCTTTTCCAACCATGGACCTACTACGAAATAGGTCCATGGTCCGACATACATGTACATGTATGTACCAGGGAGAGTACAGGTGTACATGCATGTACCCACAACCACTGTATGTAGTGTATGGAAAGTGAGTCCACCCATAGTGATGTTATATTGCATAACATGTGAATCAAAAAGATAGTAACCATGCATCACTATGAACATGACAGACAATGAAAGCGGACAAAATATACAGTCCCTCAGGTAGACAAAGAAACATCCCTTCACTGCTATTATGTAAAAATGTGTAGAACAGGTGAATATGCATGTGACACCTGTTCTACATATTTTTACATAATAGCAGTGAAGGGATGTCCCTTTGTTTACCTGAGGAACTGTATATTTTGTCCGCTTTCATTGTCTGTCATGTTCATAGTGCATGGGGCTCGGAAGAGAAACGTTCATAAATTGAAATGCAATAGTAAAGAGGTCTATTCCGTACATGCCTCTGCGAAGAGCGGGATAATGGAAAGTGTCGGAAGGAAAAACAGTTTCGTCCGAAATCGTACTAGGACCTTGATGTTGACAAATTACTAATTCGTATCTTAACTTGTTACAATAATTGTGTACACCAAATACCGCACTATAATTGTCACAGGATTTACATATATCCCGGTCCGGGAGTAAATGATATCAATTCTGAAATGAAATGAAGAGGCTGGTCAGAATATGTGTTTACTGTGAAGCATCATGTATAGAACTGATCTTTAATAACGATAAACATACAATAACATATTCCAATAATGAGACTAATTACAGCTATTTACAAGTAATACGGATTGAATTATATGAACACGAATTCATAAAAACAACATTGGATTTGGCATACACTGTAGCATATTACTGCTTAACGTTAAACCTGAACATGGTTAACTGTAATGTATAGACCAAGGTGAACCAGTTAAAAGTCGTCCTGTGTCTTTTTACACAATTACCCAACTTTTTCTAATATCCCGACATGTCTAAAATCGCAGTAAGTCAGTAACCCTAAAATCCTTTCCTGAAATAATACAAAATTACTTTCTCAATTCTAGCAAAACTCTCCTCTATATGCAGTGACAAAAGTATAATAAAAGAGTCTAGAGACAAGGAACATATTCTAAAAAAATCACACTCGGTCTTCAAATATAGTTAAAGAGGGAAAAACAGGATGAAAGGGAGTAAAAGAGAGAGAGAGAGAGAGAGAGAGAGAGAGAAGGGAAAGAGAAAGAGAGAGAGAGAGAAACTACAAATTCATAACAAACTCATTTATCAAGATTAGAAACTTGAACTACGAACCCAAATTCTCTCTTTTCCACGATATTCTCTAATTTCTCCAGTTGGTGGACTACCCCTGAGTGGGCCCTGACCAAAAGCCATTTATAAGTCATAACTTGTCACCAGTTACTTCTGATAAAGACCAGATCGAGAAACTTCTCCCAATGCACAGACTATTGAATTGGTATCAGGATTAACGTTACTACTGTACTCTTTTTGCTCCGCTGGTTAAGTGGGGGTATGAACTATAGTCATTATACATATATCACATTAAAGGTAAAGACCAGTATTGGAAACGCCCCAATTTCAAAAAATGAAATGGAAGCTCTCATTACCAATCATGTGAAAGAATATGTTTTGAGTAATACATGATGATAAAAAATTTGCCGGGAAACCGCCTACTAATTCATATATTTGGTAAATTTGTTTCTCTCATGGTCTGTGAGAGATATAGGGTAGTCCCATATACATCTTTCTGTGTATAGTGCTTGTAACTTTACGAAGAATGGGCCAAATTTCTTATCATTTTGATGATTCCAGAACCTTGCAGATGCTAGATGCTAGATGATCAACCTTTTCTGATCGATTCCACAACGTTTCTTTCACAATGCAATCGCATGACCCTAACTGGTCTTTACCTTTAAGCATAGTAGCATACATACATACATGTACATGTACATTATGAGGTGTGTTTACAATAGTTGGTTTAACCTGACTTAATATGAATATATAAAGATTTACTACTTCCACTTTATAATCAAACGACCATAATTAATTTTTGATTATAATCTATATGCTTCATAAACATAACCAACACCGTACAAGATACATGTACATGTCACGTAGACAATTAAGCCTGCATCTCTCATCAATATATCTGGTTTCATAAAATACACTTTATTGGTTCTGATATAACTAATAACATTCACTTCATCATGTGTTGCAGGACAACAATGTAATATAGCAATGGAATAATAATAATTAACTTAACCGACAAAAATTAAAGAGATTAAAATTTAAAAGTTGTATTTTCTTACAGAAAAGAAATGAAGAGGCTGGTCAGAATAGGTGTTTACTGTGAAGCATCAGGTATAGAACTGATGCTATCAGGCAGAAACCACTGACATGACCAACGCCTTCGATTTAGTTTCATTTTTGGAAGAAGGCACAACATGGTTCACCTCTTCTTGGAAACAGGAGTTGGGTTTCTGCATCATTGCAGGAAGCACTGCAGAGTGTGCAAACTTTTTAAGATATACAGGTGTGTAAAATATGACAATGATAACACGTCAAGCTACTTTGCCTTTTTTCTGTAGCCCTCCTGCATCTAATGTGTTAATGCATTAAATATATTTGTTTAATTTCGTTTATTATCTAAACACTTAAAATATTGCATCAAACCATATTGTATGATGAAAAAAAGAAAAGATTCAGAAACCAATAAATCAAATCAAATCAAATCAAATCAAATATTACACAAAATTTTGAGGTTGGCCTAATTTCCGGGGCCTTAGATGTAGATTCCATAACTCTCCTTCCTTTTCCTGTTCCTCTTCTTGCCACCGCTGGGCCGTACATGTACGTACATGTACATGTAGTTCGTTAATGGCATTAGAAACGTAGGCAATGTAGGCCCTTCATATTATGCATGCATCACATTTTAATGTATTGCGAAAATGACTAATTTATATATATTCAGGATTCCTCATACGTCACAAATTTACTATCTACTGTGATCAGGAAAACAGATTATGAATAAATTCACACATTTACCATTGATCTTTTCCATGCAAAATTAAACACTTGGATAATATTATAAGAAATATGTAAACTTAGTTGCAAGCAACTGGATAGTTCGATAACATTGTATTGAAATGTCAAGTGCATGTATAAAAGCCTACATGCACTTCAATAGGCCATTTTCGTAATGTAACCAAATTTAGTGCATTTCTAAGTCTTTGTGAAGTGCCTCAATAGGGACTTTTAGATTTGCGTGGACTGATACGTGTGACGTCCTTTCAAGACAGTGCATTAAAAGGACTTCGATCGTAGCAATCCACGTTGTCGTTCGGCAAATCTAAAAGTCCCTTATACAAATTATTTCATTCACCTGATAAGAATAACAATATTTCAATAGTCAGAATGCAAACTGCAGTGTTGCTAGGTATGTCAAGCCATAATGTTTGTCCAAACCGGGAACAACTAATGTATGCAGTTCAGATTCTGTCTATTGAAATACTATTATTCTTATCAGGTGAATGAAATAATTTGTATTGAGGCACTTCACAAAGACTTACTTACATTACGAAAATAAACCATTGTGCGATGCGACGCCACATTCGTCCCTTATACTGTATCACTCTTTATCTCTGGCCAAACAGATGTGGAATTTAATCCGCATCACAATCGGCCATTTTCGTATTGTAATGTAAGCATAGGCATGCCTTTGCGAAGCTCCTTGAAATAAATTAATTAATTCACCCGTTACGCCACTTACGGATAAATGTATCTCAAATTCTCATTAATCAGAAATCTCAGAATTCAATTTGCATAGATTAGTTGTTGCTCGTTACGGTAACAACATTATGACTTGCTCTACCCATGGACCTACTACAAAGACGTATAATGCTATTTGCATTCTATTTTTTTCATTTGAAACAGGTGAATGAAATAATTCGTCTAATAATAACATCGCATCTCAACTGCGATTTCATCTGTGTCACAATGAATCAGCGTGTACTTTAAACTTGCTGCGAATCTTCATCTCCGACCGACTGAGGTCTGAAAATGCCTACCTCGTTTGTCTTAAAGGTAAAGACCAGTTTTGGAAACGCCCCCCCCCCCCTCTCAAAAAAAAAATGAAATGGAAGCTCTTACCAATCATGTGAAATAATATGTTTTGACTAATACGTGATGAAACAAATTTTGCCGGGAAACCGCCTACTTATATTGATATATTTGGTACATGATTATATCTTTTTGGACCTGATAGATATCGCGCACGTGTCGCGTAGTCCCATATACATCTTTCTGTGTACAGTGCTTGTCACTTTACCAAGACTGGGCCAAATTTCTAATCATTTTGATGATTCCAGAACCTTGCAGTACACACCAATACTTATATGCTAGATGATCAACCTTTTGTGATCGATTCTACACGTCGCTTTCACAATGCATTCGCATGAACAGAACTGATCTTTACCTTTAAATCATTGTTCCTTCGAGGTATATTGTATATGACATTGATCCGCATCGAGGTCAATTCCTTTCTCTTGACTCTCATCTCTATCCGATTGAGGTGTGAAACGATTTTTCAGAGTTTCCTAACACTCTTGTTCCGACATGCTTAGTTTTAATCCACATTTCATCGTTTCATCTACATGTATCACCACCGGATGTGTAAAAAGCCCTTTTGAATATCCCTTGATTCTAAACAACTTCACTATATTCATAACAATCATACATCCGGCAACGCTGGTGGTCAATGCATGTCGGCAACTTTAAAGGCATCCGGTAACT